TGGTGGTGGTGGTGGTGGTCTTTGTGGTGAAGCCCCGACCTAAATCTAATGGTTCGTTTGCGGACATTCTGTAGCCGACTTCATGCATCTGCAGGTTTCGCAATTGATGCTTCAGGCAAATCAGTCTTATCTTTTGCTGCAGATTCGGCAGGGGGTGCAGGCAGCATGGAGGGACCTGCACCAACGAAGACGAAGACGCGCTTCATTGCTGCTGAATTCCAATTAGACTAGACGCCGCTGGACTTACCTGCTCAGGGACGACGCTACGCAGTGGACACATTATTTGTTTCCCCATGCTTGACGGTCTTCGATGCAAGTTGCAACCAGATTGGCAGTGGACATCTGGTTTTTCCCTGCTTGACGGAAACCGGTTTCAAATCATGTTGGTGACATGACAATCTCAGAACAAAAGCCTTCGTGCTGGAATTTCAGTTTGCTTTGGTGAGTACAGTCTACATGTGGTGCTTCCACATCTTCGAATTTGTGAAAGAGAGGCTGCGGCCACAATGTTTGAGAACATCATGTCGATGATGTTGTTGATGGTGTTTTGGTGGTGGTAGTGGTGTGCCCCATCTTTTCCCACTGATCCAAAGCAACTCCAGCTGAAACATTGGGGGCAAAGAAGAGAGAGGACAGAAAATAGAGAAGGGAACCAAAATAGAAGCCTCCGCAGACCAACAATCCAAATGGCTGAAGGGTGGGTGCACTCTGCTCGCAGGCCCCTCCTGCCATTTTTATCGGAGAAACCCGCCTGGAGGAAGCACACCCTCAAGGCTGGAGGCCACCGCGCTGAATGGTGTGTATGCCTTGGCCAGCAGGATAAGAAAACACAGCAGGTCTGTATCGGAACCTCTGAACGCCTTGCGGAATCGTTAGTGTTTGGCTGACTGATGGCGAAGATCCCGAAAGATGTCATGGGTCATTTTTGCCAGGATCTTTTGGAAGGCGTCGTGGCCAATGGAGATTATGTGGGGATCTCCAAGGAGGTTGGGGTGCAACGGGACCGATCCTTGCGGGCAATGCAGCATCACTTGGCAGGACTCGCCACAGATCAACTTCACACATCCCTGGTACTGGTTCTCTGTGGATGGAGACTGTCCAAACTTGCCCCTAGGCCAAGTGCAGGGTTCTGTGTGAACGCCTGGCGATGTTCGGCGCTATTTTGATGTGAGCACTCTGCAGCATTGTTCGTGCTTAGGCCATGGCAGTGTGTGAAGCCTTTCCCGGGATGTGAGGCTGAGGCCGAGCACAAGGGGCTTTGGATTTTATTCTCAGAGCTTTAGGTAAACTGTTAAACTCATTGCAAGGCTCCACCAACGAAGCCACAGCCTTGCGATCCCGATGGCTGCGCAGGCAAACAAGACCAGGCACTGGAGTCGAGAAGTTTTGAGAAGCTGCTTGGACTTTCAGCCTTGGGAGGATGCCCGAAACTGCAGCTCCGATCCCCACTTCAGTGATCCCTCTGACACTGACACGAGTCTTGGTAAAAGTTGGCTTGCACACAACATCTAGATGGGTGTTGATCTACCTGTCCTTATAGGAAAGTCCATATTGATGGACTAGCAGGTGAGGAACATGTGTCTTCTCGACCTTGTTCCCTTGTTCTCTAGATCCTGTAGCTTCATGCAAACTTGCTGCATGTGATCAGCAATGATGTGAACATGCCCAGATACAGAGTCAGTTGCCCATCAGAACCTGCAAGAATGCCACAACAGATTAGATGAGGCTAAGAAGGCATGTCAGGGGAAGGCCCCAGCAAATGCCAAGATGAAGCGGAAGTGAGAGATGGACATATACTGTAGGTCGAGTAGACAGTTAGTGGTGACATCAGGCAGAGGTTGGTACCGCAGCTCTTAAGCAAAACGCCCGGTGTAGACTTTCGGAGCTATAGACAATGGATGAAAATGGGTCCTCGTTTGCAAAGTCTAGGGCTAGGGCTAGGGCTTCTCAGCTACTCATGCAGACTTGGAGGGTCTCTCAGTTCCTCTTGACGAACCCGATACTATGGTTCGTGATGGCGCCTTGAAAGGATGTTTTCTCGTGAACGTTTTTCGTAACTCCAATTGTGCACTATGACTAGGCTCTCAGATCTGCTAGGCCATGGCTCTGAAGGACTCTTCTCAGAGCCGAGGCATTACTTTCTTGTCAAAATTCTGTTCTAATCCGTCTGAGCAAGACGAATGGAAGCTTATCCATGCATGGCTTTAGTCCATACTCGATACGCACATTTGTACGCAAGTTTTTCATTCCGTGTAAGAAGATGTCTTCGCACTGAGCATTGAGATTTTGAGCCTAGGTACGGCTCTTCTAGCCTAGCCGCTCTGGATAATGGGGTTGAAATCTGACTTGGTGAGCGACCTCATCTTTCAGCTCGCCTTTGGCATGTTTAGGGTCTGGGCTGAAAGATTTCAAGCCGGGCTTTCTGGTGCAGGTTCAACGCTGCGGATTGGAGTATCTATGGAAGGATTTTGTGAAGTCAGCTTCTTTCCTATTTTAAATGGTACGGCTGTGGACTGCTAGAGGAGCTAGCCGTCAGAAACATGCTCGGCGATGGGTTCAAGAAAATGTCGAGGAAGACATTTTCTCTGTCGTGAACCTGCTCATTTCGTGATGATGGGCCCTCGCAAGCCAAGGGCGCGAAAGTGCTGCTTGCACTACAGCCGGTTTCCCGACAAGGCTCGCTTCTTCAGGGGTGTTGCCGCAGCCTTGGCGCTTGCCTGCAAGGTGATTATGGGGGGCCTGTGCGACTCCTCGAAGACGGATCCAACAGGGGAGATTGGCTGCGTCTACACCTACAAGGCAAGGTGTGCATGTGCTTGCAGGAAGTCGAGATGGGAGCCCAGCAAATCAGGAGTGCAGACCAGAGATGAGGAAGGGGAGTATCGGGGTTAGTGGTTCTGCTAGGCCTTGGCAGACAGCGACTTCCTGAAGATCGACGATTTGAACGGTGTCTTGGCTCTAACCTCATCCGTGTGAAAGTGAAGAAGGCAAACTGGCCAGGAATCACAAGCATGCCTTGTGGCCCCAGTGAGAAGAGGCCTTGCTCTGCATTTGCCTCCTGAAGGGGTTTGACTTTCTCGGCTCGTACAGATACGGGCCTAGAAATGGCCAGAAGTAGGTGCAACAGGCTCTTGTCCGAGCATGATTCGGAGTAGGGCATCACTTGCGCAGGAAGTGCACAGGCTGGAAAGACTGGCGTGACAACTGCTACGATCCGCAAAAGAGACTTGGTCAGCTTTTGGATGTCAGTTTGTGTGTGGCAGGCATCTTGGAGCAACCAAGGAAGTACAAGAAGAAATTCCACTGCAAGGATTGTAGCTCCACCAGCGCCAAGTGGGACGTGGATATTCAGGCCTCACCCACCTGTTAGAAATGCAGGTAAACGGCACGACCGCAATACCCCTGTGGTCCAGGAGACTGGCTATTGCGTGGAGTATGACCTGCACCCATACTGCCAACAAACTCAGGATCTGTGCAAGGACGGGCGGTTCATTTAGCCAGCAATGGTTTGCAAATTCCTGGCTACCTCTTGTGCCCAGGACCCGAGATGCATGCAGTTGAAGGCAGAGGCAGGGAGGTTTGACACAAGCTGCCGCAGGGTAAATAAGTGTGGGGTCAGGAGAAGGAAACCGGCCTCCCATTCTGGAAGGGAAAGTGTGAAGTCAGATGCTCAGGAATCCTCAGAAGGTTTCAGAGGCAATCTCGTGAGACGCGATGAAATGAGACATCAGCGCAGGTACGAGACAACCAGCGCCGTGCGGAAGCCGTGGCGCCTCTTGCCATCAAGCAGACATGTCCGTGCATTCTCCTCTGTGTTCGCCAACACGAATGCGATCAGGGAGTTCTTCCTGGGAGATGCCGTGAAGGGTTCCCACTGGCTAGTTGACAAGGCCCTTTGAATAGCGAATTGGATACTGCAGCAGTCCAACAGTCGACCGCAGTACTAAGGCCGCCATGGATGCCAGCCCAGCCTGCTCGTCAAAGGACACTTCTGTGTGCCTGCCTCAGCTTGAAAAGACAGAAAGCCCGACCTAGGACCTAGGACATAGCCCGATCTTGCGAGGCCCAATCAGTGCACTCCAAATCCTGATGGAGGTCCCTATTGCACTCGTCTCTTCGGTAGCTCGGCTGCAGCTGGCAGCACGCTGCCCACTGCTGCTACCTGAGCCGCCCTGGCCAAGGCGGCGTCTGCTCTACTTGCTACATCCCAGGAACTGACCCGTTGCTCGGAAGGGAACTTTGGGCTGTCTTTGGCAAGAAAGTCATGTTCTCCGGATTGCTCGTGAACCTCTGAGGCCATATCCTGATCCTACATCGCAGTCCTTCTCCTAGCCACACATTTCAAAGCTCGTGCTTGCTGGACATCGTTTGTCATCGCAACTCATCCCATATTCCTGTTGTTCAGGCCAATGTGCCCTTGGGACACGTTGAAGGCGCAAGCCAGTTATCCACAGAACATTCTCGGCCTAAACCCTGACGAGGAGAAGGGCAACACACCGCCAACGGAGACGAAATGTGCATCGGAAGATCCGCTATCGCTTTGCTGTTTGTATGGCCGTGCACCTACACGGAACAGGGAGAGACACAACGTCAGTGGAGTCCAAACACACGAGTAAAAGTGGCAGGAGTCCCAGTGATCGCCAAGGAATTGGAAGCTGCAACAATGTGACTGGCACCGACGGATCTGATGCCGAGTTGACTGCACGTGGATTCCTGGTGGTTGCAAGGCAGATGACAGGATGTGGGGGACGGTTTGCTCACTGAGTGGGAGCGTGACAGGATAATGGACAACAAAGAGATGGTGAAGTTTGCCACACGTTACGTTGAATCCTTCAAGGGTGCCGTGATAAATGAGGCCCGCGATGCTACGGACTGAGGGGGAATTGTTCTCGCAAAAACATCATGGCAGGGTGCTCTTGGCGCTGACATCTATGGCACCTGGCACTACCAGCCTCCCACCAACCCTGAGGCCGTCGATACCTTAGAAACTGCCAATGTTGACCGCGTAGCATCCACCCTTCTGCAGCTAGCAGATGTCAGTATAATTCATTCTGTTCCTGATCAAGCATCTACTGCAGCGTTGAGCCATCAGATCCTTGTTGAGACGCACTATTTTTAGGTGAATGTTTGCGGATGCAAGATTGATCAAAATGAAGACCCCTCACCAGCATGGGCACTGGTGTCCCACTCAGAGCCCAGAATTGGCAAGTGAATAGACGACACCTAGGTGTAAAGATTCAAAGTGGGGAACGGGTAGCACAGGCAGATGATGCTTGCCCACGTTGTACATATTCGGTGCCTGACTGCAATATCTAGGCCACGTCATTCGAGGTTATACTTGCCACCAGGTATGATCTGCTCTTGCTGGCCACGACTGGAGCAAGTCTGAAGTCTCGAAAACATGAATGTCCCAGTCATAAAGCCCCGCTAGGAGTTCTCAGTGATCTGTCCAGAGTTTCCGCTCATGTCCGCACCAAGATCCGCGCTGAAGGGATGTTGTTGTGATTTTCAGAGGCCATGGAATGAGGCATCCTTCTCAGATCCACCCTTGATTGCAGGTTGGAATTAGGTTTGAGCTAGAAAAAGGGGGATGGGCAACGATGTGGCACACACTTTGAGTTGCAGGGAGTGCAGTCGGCGGCGGGGTCGGAGTCCGGCTTGCTGAGGCATGGACAGGGTTCACCGTGGCGGTCAACAAGAGCACCGGTATCACATGGCATCCGGCGGCACCCACACCGAAGCCTTCGGGCGGTTCCACGGTGATCTGGATTATTGTCGTCCTTGCAAAGACCCCAGCTGTTCGAGTAGGTTCCCAGGCAAGTTGTTTCTGTCTTCAGTAGATGTGGAGATAGCCAGGTGGTGCTGGCACTTCTGGGCTTTGCAGCCTTCAAGTATCGGCAAAATCAGCAGGCTAGGCCTTCATCCTTGCATCGTGGGCGTAGCCTTCGTCAATCCAAACTCGAATCCCTGAAGGCGCGGCAGCCACTGCTGCCATCCACTGAAAACCCACAGGTACAGATGAGGAACTAGGTGGAACTAGCGAGCTGCTGCTACGTGGGATTTACTTTGAAGGTTTCACTGGACGGCAGCGACCAGGCTGCACAACTCTGCAGAAGGGTGCCGTTGCCGCTCCGGAGCCTTTGGGCGCCTGAGCGGCTCTGTTAATGCCCCTCGCTTGGAGCCAGTCACAGGGCCGGCACCGAGCTCTGGAGGGACATCGTTTCGACTGAGACTTGCTCAGTGAGAACAGCAAATCAGTGAGGGGCAGCAGCGATGGAGAGCTACCAGTCTTTCAACACCCAAAGCCTTATTTAGGCCGCTTTGCTTACCGTTCGAAGCCAATGAGCGCATTGCCAAGGTGACATCATAGCTTTTGAGGTTCACATCAAGATGAAGAGGAGAGGGCAGCCAGGCACAAACACAATGTTCGCTTTTGAGGGCAACACAACCAAACAGAGAGGCATTCCAACATGTTCTGCACATCACCTGAGTCCAAGACAAACAGTTGTGATGTTTGCAGCATAGGAAGTCCAGGAGTCAGGCAAGAAAAATGCACACGGAATCTTCAGACAAGTCAAGTTAGCAAGCCAGAAAGCGGCACAGCAAAACATAATGCACGCTACGTGACGCTGCCCAGCTGTCAATGTCTTCATATTATGGCATCTTGGTTGCATCTTCAGACTCCTGGGCCGCTGATTTCTCCTCTTGCCGTGGGCTGTGAGGGCCTCCGTGTCAGCCCTAGCTCTCAGCTGGGCAGCTCGAGAGTTCATGGGATTTGACATTCTGTTGACCTTTGTCCCAACGTTGTCTGGCACTGGCATCAGTAGGTATCAAGGCTTAGAACCTAGGTAGGAGACTTGCGTGTGCAGGAATTTGCTTCAAGAGTTTGTCAACTTGAGTCTTGAGAGGGATCCAGGGCCGCAAGCTTGCAATTCCAACCTATGCTTCTGCGAACCCAACACCGCGGTACTACTGGTTCGTGACGGTGCGATTCTGCGAAGCAGACTGTTAGGGCTGGGTAATGTAGGCATGTCCCTTGCTGACCTTGGAACAGTTGGTCAGTCAGGACCTGGCAGCCGTCGCGACAACGCCGACAAGCTCAGACTACATGATCAGAAGCATGGGGGATGCAAGTTCAGACGTCAGATTCAGGAGTGGTGGACTTCGTGGAGCCACTCTGCAGCCCGGGCCTTGTAGCGTGGGAGCAATGCACTCCACCATCATTTCTCTTTAGACTAAGCTCCGGCAGAGCACTGGGCATCATCTTGAATCCATTTCTGTCTAAGTCATGGCATTCCGGGGGATGGAATGGCAGCTCGCAGGCAGATGCCCATTTGCATTAGCTTCTATGGAACAATCAAGTCTGGACTTGTGACAGTGCCACCCGTGCTTGACCTTGAAGCCTCTGTTTTGTGTTGTGGACATGTTCAAAATTCCAAAACAAAGAAGCACTATCTCTCTTAGATTGCATCCCCATCCTCCCATCCTGAGAGGCATACGAGTGAGTGGGTGAGTGAGTGAGTGGGTGGGTGGGTGTGTGGGTGGGTGGGTGGGTGAGTGGGTGAGTGGGTGAGTGGGTGAGTGAAGTGTGTGAACCATTGGATGCAAGCGTGGTCATGTTGATCACTATTCGAGTACTTGGTTTTTGTTTGCTTTCGGATGGATCGGTTGAGGTAGTTCCTATCCTCAACCAAGCCAAAGCCAATTAAAATGCCAAAGCCAGCCCTTGGATGCGTAAACTGCAGATTTGACGAGTAATTCATTGTCGCGCTATTTCTATGATTGCCATTGTCATTATGTTTTCTGCTGGCATTGGCGCTTTTGCTGCTGAAGTGTTAGTTCTTCACAACAATTTTGCCATTGCTCTCTGTTCTCGCAATCATGATTGTAGTGCATTTGTATGCCACCATCAGCATGCTGTTATCATGTTGTTGCCTTTGCCGTTGCGGATGGGTATGCACGGGCTAGCTGCCCCCTCCCCGACCATGATAGGAATCCCTGAAACAAGTCCATCCTACTTCACATATAATGAATGTTGCTGCCGGTGGTGGTGGTGGTAGTAGTAGTGGTAGTAGTAGTAGTAGTAGCAGCAGCAGCGGCAGAAGCAGCAGCAGCAGCAGCAGCAGCCCTCGTAGTTGTCGTAGAAGACCACTCCAGCACTACTGTAATTATTGTTCACAGCGTGTTCAACTGTCACTGACATGAATCACGCAAAAGAGTTGCAAACAACCCGCGCCCCTCAAAAAAAAGGCTTCGTCATGTTGACCAGTGCCAACCCTGCTGCGAATCTTTTCCAAAGACGTGGGAAAGCACACTCCACCACCAGCACATGCGCCTTTACACAAGAAAGCGTGCCTTGGCCTCCACGGCAATGAAGCCGGCCAGTCTCAATAGCGAAAGAGGCGCGTGCCTCCCCAACAAAACAAAGTATGCCTGGCCTCCACAGCTACAAGAAAATTCCCCCCCCACAAAAACGCTTTCTAGCTGCACAGCAGCAGTAAAGCAATGCCTTGTTTTGCAGATCTTTGCAGGCTGGCGCAGCACACGGTGCAGCACATTCAAGCAAGGAATGGTGGCCGCACCCTTGGCCTCGCTGTCTGAGCCGCGCGGAGCTGCACGGTTCTCCCGACTTCGCATCAGGTGGGCCAACAATACCGACCCCTCAGGCTATGTGACGACTATTTGTGTCTACGTTGTGGCAGCTGTCGGTTTCTATGGCTTTGAAAGAAGTGAAAGGTTGGAATGGCTCCGGGGCGCAGAGCTGGTGACACGCCCAGAAATGGAAGCAGCTAAACGTACCCAGAGCTTAGAGAATCAGAAGCCGAGGTATGGTCGCAGCAAACCCAGTGAGGTCAAGGCCAAGGCGCCAGATCCAGGCAACATCCATCGTCTGAGCTCCTTTGAAGTTATGGTTTCAGGTACAAGACTCCGAGATTGCAGCTTGTCCTGAGCAAGGTGCAGCTCCCATCCCCTACGAGATCTTTAAGTCAACACACAGGCGTGATCCGTTGCATAGTATCACGTTCGTGAAGGTACTGCGGCATGGAGCAAAGGCCGCTTAGTCCCCACTAGTTGCATTGGCCAGATGTCAATGTGTCCTTGCACTGTCAGGATTGGCCGCCGCGGCTGCGGCTCCGATCCTGCCAAAAGCCAAGGAGGCATCTTTGACTTCGAATGGGGAGACCAAGGTCAAAGAGCCCAAGGACAGATTTGCTGCCTTGTGAACATTCGCAGTCTACATGGAAAGTTTGTCGCCTCAGCTCAAGCTTGTGCCGACCATAAAGGGCGTCGATGCAGAACAGCTTCAGATGACTGCTCATGTACAATCTGTTTCTGTTAGCAGCTTCTTAGGGGTCCTGCTTTTGACAGTCCAAGCCAAGAAAAGATATTCTTCATCACAGAGATTCAGCCATGTTCAGCAGCCTCCTGGCCAGCTTGCTCTCTTTGCATGATGCTCAGAACTTCTTCGAATGTCAGACTTTAGATGTTGAGTATTGCTGAACGTCTGCAGCATGTGCAAGTCAAGGCCGACTGCGCAGGACCTGGCAGCTTGCAAAGCACCCTTCCTGCAGATTCTCTTTTGCCTTTTTTGCTGGCTGCAGGACGTGCCACAAGTGCCGTTCGTGTATTCGTGCAGGCCTGAGACGATGCGAGGAACGTGCTGCAAGGCAACAAAACAGAAGACCAGGAAGGATGGAGAAGGCTTCCAGAGGTGTAAGAGAATTGCAAAATTAAAGAATCTTGCGGCATTCCAAGGCACAACGATCTGGAAAATCAAGAAGCTGCCATGGCGTGCCATGTCCGGTATTGCTTTGTTTAATTGTGGGATTCGCAAAAGATCTTGAGAAGGTATTTCGAGACTCGATACTACAACAACGAGACTCCTGACTGACCTGGCAAGTTCTTTCCACTTAAACAGCGGTTTGAGCGAGCCGCACAGGAACCGATGGTCTTTGGGTGAGAAAGACTTGGCAGATGCCATCGCCATTGGCCAGGTCACTCCTGCAAATGGCTTCGAGTGTGGCAGATGTGTGTAAGCTTTCAACAGGGACTTGTGAGTTCTTGAGCTCTGGCCCTGAGTTGGCATTCCAAGAGCAGTCGCTGGCGCTGGCGGCTGCCCAAGTACTCTACCTCTACGCGTGGTTCACAAGGACATGCTTGCTGCTGTCAGCAAGACGCAAACAGTGCTTCAGCCAGCTTGTCAGGACTGGCGAGATCATGCGCGCAAACATCATACTGTCTGCACAGCTTCTTGACTGCTGTTGATCCAAAACGGGTTACTTCAATTCTCCGCATTCTGATCTCAGGCTGTTCGAGCTGAGCATCACATATGCTGGGTGCCGCTTGATGGCACGTCTCATAGCTTGCCCTCGTTTTCTTGAAGCACTCAAGAGAAGGTTCGTGCCAGGTTCTCGTGAGCTGCTTACAGATCACTGGCTTCAGCTAGGTTGTGACATCCGTTTTGGTCAAGCTCTCAGGCAGGGTTGTTCTAGGCAAAACCTGCTCTAAACAGCACGGGAACCTCAGAGTCTAGGTCAGCCCGCCATCCTTTATTCGTGGCTGCAAGAAACTGACCAGACCGGCACCGCGGCAGTCTACGGGGAGCGTGGCTCGCAACTGCTTGCGCAGCCAGGCATCATCTCTTTGATCCTGTGCTGCTACCGTCTTCTCACCTCTCAAAGCCCGCAAAGGTACTTAAAGACAGTGCCGCGTTTCGCAGATGCTGGTAAGACTTGGAGCTCACCATGGGACATCAATTTCAACCAGCTGCTTTGATGCACAGAATGCCATCATAAATCCTGACACCACAAGTTGCAGGCTTAGATATCCTGCGCCCCGGCTGCAAATGGGAGCTTGCTGAATTAGGACACCTAATGGGATCTTGGGAGAGAAGTGCATGCAAGGACATACCGGCCAAGCCAATTTGGAACGCCAGCAAAGTGCCATTGGCGGTGTTCCTTGAGCCCTGGCTGCGTAGTTTGGTCCAGTTGTGAAGGCCTTACAAAAGATTCCGTAAGCCCAGGAAGAGAACTACGGGACTTTCCGGTCCGAGCTAGAAGCCATTATAAACGCAGCAGATGTCGAAGATGGTGCCTTGGGTGAGAAGTTGAGACGCAGCACAGAGCTTTGGACGCCTGAATGTCGCTTAGCTGGTCAGGCTACGAGACGATCCGGCGTGCGGACGTGTCCGTTGAGTCGCTCTCAACTCCAGGTGGTTGGGATGCTATTCGCATTGTTCGACTCAAGCTCAGGTGCTCTACAAGCATTCCTGCTCCACTGAGCCCATGCGTGCTTAGGATATGGCCATTGGAACGAAGCCTTCTGCAACTTTGCGCCAAAGACATGCGCACTCTTGAGAACTCGGAAAGAGTCATTTGGCAGCAGACAAGGCGGTGTGTGTGCACAAATAGTTAGAGCACTTCAAACGTGGAAGCTACAAAGCTGAGGCTGGTGAATTGCCCATACGCAACTCTCTGCCAAATGGAATTTTGTTTACTTCAGTCATTTGCTTAGGGGCTGTCGTCAGGGCCAGGCAACGCCATGGAGGGCCACGCAAAAGCAAGGCTAGGACTCGGGCCTCTGCATCCCTAGAACCAAGTGCCACCAAGAAAAGAGGACCAAGGCTAACAGAAGCTTTTGTCAAAGGTCTTCGTTTTCTTTTGCGCCTCGCACGCTGCGCGTGCGCAGGAAGAAACAGCAATTTCCTTGCGCGGCGCAAAGTCAGAGTTAGACAGGAGATTCTTTTGCCTTTGGGATGTACAGTGATCAACAGTACAAAAAGTGCAAGTTGGGTGAATCCAGACCAAACTTCAACAGGCCTTGCGGAAACCTGCACTTGTACAAAGCTCAAAAAAACTACCGAGAACATATAAAGAACCTTGACAAAAAGCATTCAGATCCTTAAAAGGCTTCAACTTCGCATGACGCCTTGGAAAAACATCCTTCATCCCCCTGAGGTCAGAAACGAGGACCCAGTGATGATGATGATGATGATGATGATGATGATGATGATGATGAACCGCATCATCAACATCACTGGGTCCTTGTTTCTCACCCTTGAAAATTTTGGTGCCCACCCTTTTGCATCGTGAAAAGTGCTCACCTCTGCAGCTAGACCGCAGCAGGGGAGTGGGTCGCCTGCATGCGCACCCCGTCTTCTGTGAGGCTACGCTTACGTCGCTCTCGCGAACACAAACAGGCTTTGTTCAATTTAGGGGAGAGGTCCGATTGCTTGCAGGTTTGGCTCTGCCCCGCGTGCGCCGCGCTGACCATGAATCCGCTTCTGCCCAGGTTGCGTCCCGATGGTCCGGCGCTTGCCGCGACACAGTCATCACAGACAGCACCAGTATGTTTAGCCAAGAGCGCACGGCCAGACTGGAAGCCTGGAGAAGGAGAAACGGCCCCAAATGATGCTGATGATGCTGGTCAAGGGGGCCAGCATCCTTAGCATCATTGCAGGTTCATCACCATTAAATTTTGGGTACTGATTGAAATCAACACTTTCTCAGCTCGGGCCAAAAAAAGCTGTGCTCATGATGTTTTTTCGGGGTCCTGCCCGACCCCAACATAATTGACAAATCTCTCCGCAGCAGGGGGAATCTTCTGGAGTGCATGTTGATTTAGGCTGCTTTCGGGGTGGGCCCTTTGGAGAAACGGAGGTCGGATGATGCTGGGTCGGTGACGCACGCACAAACGGGCGCTGCGCGACTTCACAGCCTGGCTCGTGCCGCCGATCAAGAGACGAGGAAAGCGAGAATGGACTGGCAACCCAGTTTGGACTCACCGAGCGTTAGGGCGCAGCTGGCCATGACGAGTTCCAGGACCATGGCGCTGCCAGATTGCGCACAGAACAGATTTCGGCGTGGGACATGGGGTTACTTTTGGGAGCTTTCTCTGCGCTCGCAGTAACCTCGCGTGGGCCTGTGACCATCCGTTCCCGCAGAGTGCGGGCAGCGCTGTTGTGCCAAATGGAAGCTTTCGGTACATTTGAGCTTTGGCAATCATCACCTGCCTCAGCTCTGCACACCTGGACATGGCTCGTACAGGCTAACCTTCCATGTCAAAAGCAGCAGCAGCAGCAGCAGCAGCAGCAGCAGCAGCAGCAGCAGCAGCAATGCCTGTTCAGTGTTCTTCTGACACCTGCGGCGTAGGCGTGGTGACCAGGATGCTAGAGCAAGAGTTACCATGACCACAGTGCCTGCGGCGCCTGCGGCACCACCATCAGCATCGCTTCAATTTTAGCTGAGCGAGACTTTGAAATCGCTTGTGGCTGTCATTGCCTGACCCCTGGCCCGAGCCTTTGGACCTGTGGCTCAAGAAGTTTCAGGCCGCTTGGGCAGAGCCCCAGAAACCTCAAGCCTCCCATGCTTTAGGGTGCCGTGGGGTAGCGAGAAGGAGGAGAGTGTCTCCGTCTCCTCTGACCATGAAGACGCGTCTCAGAGGTTGGCAGGTAATGTTTGAAGTGTTTGAGGCAGCTGTGTCTGTCTGCCAATCCAAGGTCAACACAAACTACTACAAATTATTTCCAGGTGCGGGCTGCGTGCCCACTTTTTTCTTTCAAGGCTTGCAATGGCGTTGGGGCCGAAGCTTGTTTGACCTGATGCAGGTGCCCATCTGAAGCTCGGCAAGAACGGTACTGCGTTGCGTCTTGCTCAGAATCTTTCCGAGAGACCACAGACAGGAAGCCACATTTCGGAAATGCTCCGCGGCTCACGGCGCACCTGGCTGTCATCGCTCCAGAACCCCTCCGCTCAGGCAGACAGAATCCAAGCACCCTAAAAGCACAAATGACTCGTTTGCCTGAGGCATAACGGTTGGGCCAGCCCAAAGTTTATGGATTGAGGGCAAGTCCATGGTCATCGATGACACATACCCTCATTCAGCTGCTTGCTTTCCATTCCGTTATCCATTAGTAGCTTTCTTCGAACACTGGTGTCTGAGGTGAGCCACTGGGGCCAGCACCCACGCTATGTCCTAGCAACCTGGTTCTGCCATCCTTGTGATGAGAACCATGACAGTGGACAAGTCTGCGCTGAGACATTGTAGCAAAAAATGAAGAGCTTGCCACACTGGAGAGGGAGCGGGAGGAAGTGGGGTTACCGATTTTTGGGCCTTGAAGGAGCCAGGGGCGAGCCTCCTAAGGAGCCCAGAGCCCAAGGCTGGACAACACAGCTCCAACAAAGCTAGAGATTGCAGCAGACAATCTTGCAATCCGCCTGCATCACTTTGCAGGTCCCAGCTAGTCGGGCTCCTCCTCCTCAAGTGCTGGAGGAGATGGTGGCAAAGGCTCAATGCTCCACGCACCCTGGGATCTCGCGACAGTTGAGGGTGGTGCTATCTTTGTGCTTGTGTTCGCTTCCGCAGCACTGCCAGACCTCACTGTCTACCCAGAGTCTACATCGGACAGTCTACACAGCTGCGAAAAGGACGGTATCCTTGAGCATGTTAGTCATTTACCCAAACGCCCTTTTTTAGCATTGTCTCCTCTGCGAAAGACGGATGGGTTCGACCAGGCCAGAATACTGGGTCTCCCAGCGTGCACATCACGTAGACTCAGTTCTTTTTCTTGCAGGACAGTACCTACGTGCTAAATGAAACAAGAACGCCAGTGAAGCATGAGCATATGCATGGCCGTAAAGATGTGTAGCCGAGAAAGCATGCAGAACTGCAGTGTGAACTTACCTGGAGCTTTGAGTTTGGGTTTGAGAACAAGTTCGAAGCTGATAGCAGATAGCCTCCGCTTTTTTGGTATCCGGTGCAAGACCGCCTTTGTACACTGTCACCTCAAGTCCAGGCCAGCCCTTTCCACGGATGCGGCGGTTTTTCCAGTTCCTCGTCCCGGCGAGTTTGCGCGGAGCCGCCTGTGGCAAGGGGGGCTCACAGTCACAGACCGTAATCTTGCAGCACCCGGGCTGAGCCTAAGCATGCCCCGAGCCATCTGCTGATCATGGAGTATCTTGTGTGCTCCGAGGCATTGCAGTCATTGAGGGGGCTTGCTGCCGATCGGGACAACTGCTTCCCCCATGGCCGCAGAGCAGGTCTCGCTCAGCTAAGTGAGCCTTCGCGGGACCGCAATGCAAGGCACGGCCTCCGCAGTGGGACTTTCCTTCCGCTTTGTTTTGCTTTGACAGGGCCAAGTGCTCAGCCTTGCGGGAACTCCCAGCAATATTCAAAGAATGGAAGGTGCCCTAGCAGAGAGAGCTCAGAGTGTTGGGGTCACAAGCTGGTCCCGTCTCGCTAGGCGCTGCGAAAGCAGCGAGGGTCTTCCATTCCCGGGGTTCGTGAACTGCGCGATTGTAAAGAAGGTCTTGAGGAATTCTTGCAGCTTGGCAGAGTTGAAGATCATGAGTTGATCATCAGAATTCCTCACAGATCCTGGGGATCCGCGGGATCCGCAGGCAGTGCTGAAACGGATTTCGCGCAGCTGAGATCCGATGCCACAGCAGCCATTACGCGACTCTTGCACCGCTCCCCGACAAAGCTTCGGAGGCGAATACGCAAGGCAGTGGCTCGGCACCTTCAGAAGATTTGAGCCTTAACACATTTATGCCCTTCTGATATGCCCAGCTGAAGGTTCTGAAGGAGTGGCAGGCAGGCTTGGGGACTCTACTACAAGCAAACCATCAGAAGCCATCTATTTGGAGAGGTCCTCCGCCCGCAACACCAGCTGCTCTTCGCGGCCACGGCGGCGCAGCGAGCGCTTGACCGACCGCAGAGCCCTGTGCTCGGAGCGTCAAGGCTGGGACATGCTCCCAGCCTTTCCTCAAACTTTGGCACCGTTGCAGGAAGCTTCCCCAACAGTGTCCTTCGGCAGAGATCTGGTCACTCTTACAGCAAGCGCCTCCATCCTGTGAGCTCTATGGCGAAGGCTGACTGGCGAAACGAAACGAATCAACTAGAATTGAGGGGATCTGCATGAGAGCAGGCTCGGATGCTACGTTTTCTCATCCTTTTGTCAAGGACGCATCAATGAGTGTCTGCCGGTTTGCAGTCAAGTTGACAGCCTGCTTTCAGGAGCTGCTCAAAAAGGCACAAGAGCGCGTCTCATGGGACGGCTGGGTGATTTGCGTGCGCACCTACGCCAGGCCCACCAACTTGCACCCACTTGTAAGTCAATCTTTGGTGGACAGGCCAGACAAGCTGATGGCGCAGACGTTGAAAGTCTTGAAAGCCGCTGGGCTGCTGAAGTTCCGCAATCGGCTCCATGCCGCATCCTCAGCTGTACCTCGCTCTGGGAAGGATACAATTGGAGCAGGCAACACATCTTGACAGGTCTTCGTCTCCCATGAAGACCCAGACTTCCTCTCAGGCCGCTATGAGGAAGTTTTGGGGACGCTGAAAGACAGGACGCGCTCGTATAGTGATGTCATGCCACAAATTGCAGCTAACGACCGTCGAAGATTCCGGCAAAAGTTGCGAGGATTGTCATCGGTGTGAAGGGAGCGGACCTGCAGGTCCGCTTCATCGAGGAGTGCTTCCTCGCGGGCCAACATGTAGAAACCTGAGCTGCATGCAGGTTTCATGTGCTAGTCAAACCTTTTTTACATTTTGTCACATTGTGACGCGACATGGTGGTGCCAGGTGGTGGTTTGCGACGACAACCTGACCCGCTTGGTGCATCACGAGGCCGGAGATGAGCGGCCCGTGGACCTGGTGGCAATCATAGAGGCGGCGGCTGCAGCAATGCAACGCTTCCAGGCTCACCTTTGGGGCACCTTGGCCAAAGGGACACCCGAGCTTGCACCAAGTGTCCGATTGGTGCTCGTGGTGTGAGGCATCTCTCCCACGAGCAACAAGACGTTTCTGAAGGAGCCCAGCGTGCCTGGCATCACAAACTCTGATCTCATACACCTGCAAGGAGGTTCCAGCGATTAGTACGTCGCTGGGCCTTGTCTATGGGGCCTTCTTTGGTTTCCTCGTCCTGCAAGAGCCTGAACTGTACACGAGGTTTGGCCAGGTGAAGGACAGCTGGGGCTGGGGCCGGAAGATACAAAAAAACATAAGAAAGATCTCCAGGATGATGTGGAACGCTCTCTGCGCTACTGGCACCGCGATGGTGTGATTGTGAGATTCCGCCGTGTTTCCTGCACGAAGGCCCAAAGGCCAGGTGTGCCTTGGCAGAATGATGCCTACGCTTGCAATAGTTCTTGGAGTAATTAATTGTTCAGGCTCATGAGGGCCATGCGATTAACGCTACTCAGGTCTATTCAAGCAGAAAGGGCGGCATATCTGCCAGCGTCGGGGAGTCAGGGCATAAGAAGCAGGGTGACTTTGCGCTGGCGCAGCTATATCGAGGCAGCTTTGCTGTGCGCGTGTCTCCCTAAAAAGGATAAGCATGCGACAGGTCTCAGGCCCGCAGGAGCCCAATCCTGCATTGTTTCACTTGATCTTCCCAAACCCGGGAACCTTCCAGCGGGCTTGTGATTGCTTTGAGTGAGAAGCCATTGGGCTGAACCCTTTTCTGTTGCCTGTCTTTCTGACTTGTGGGGGCTCAGCCACACCCTTAGTTGATTTCAATGCCAGTTCTGTCAGCAACACATAGTATGTTCAAATGCACAGCCATAGGAGGTCTCACCATGAAGGCCTTGCAGGCAGACATTAGAGGAGGTTTGTTCGAGATTTCTTGTACCTGAACTCTTCCACACCTGAAACATATGTGTGATTGTTTTTGCGCAGGGTTCGCAGGGTTCAGCCTGCCAGGCTTCTCACGGTACATCCGCTTACCCACGCCGGAGTTCGATCAACAGCGAGATCCGAAGACAGGAGAAGAAGCTTTCATTACAAACACACAGCCTGGGACATCTGGTGCAGATCAGGACACCTTCAAACACGCGGTGACAAAAAGCCGCGATGGAAACCAGGATGTCGCGTTGCAGACGCTTGGTGCATTGTGTGAGTAAGATTCCTGCATGCCAACAGGGTAAGGAGTTGATGTCATGCCCAAGGATTGCGGCGTGGTCTGGATGCGGAAGAAATGTTCGCCATTCCGCCCTGGGCCTTGGGCATTGGCCCCGAGAGGCCAGACATGGCCAGACTGACATCAGAGAGAGAGTGCTGAGCTCAATAGCGGCAGGCCAGGTCCTCATGGCTGGCTTCTACTGCCAAGCCTGTCGACAAACCTCTTGTGGAGAAGTACGCGGCGCATGCTGCTGTGTCCACCCTGTTGAGCAGGACTCTGGCCTTGAACGCCAACCCTGAGAGCTGTGTCAAGCCGCTTTTGCATCTTTTGCTGTCCAGGAGGCGCGGCAGATCCTAGCCTGCAACCTTTTTGCAACGATATGTGACAAAGGATGCGAGTCGTGCGATGCGATCATCTTGGGTTGCTGAGGATTTTCTTCACAGAGGGCCTTGAGGCGATCAGAGCCCAAGCAAGGCGTGGGGGACATCGGTGCCTGCTTGATGTCCCTCGCACTGTGTGAGGCTGACCCGCAAGGTGACTCCCGAGGATAGGGTAATGAAGGCGCTAGAGCATGAGTGGCCAGTGCCTTGGGATGTGGCAGGTGTTGCACCAAATGATCCTGCTCAGTGTGTGGCATGTGTCGCGAAGGCGCCTTCTTCCGAAGCGTCAGCGGGCAGATGTAGAGGTCCCATGGCGTGTTCGCATGTTCGACTTGAGCCTATGCTGGTACACTCATGCTTGGCCCCAGAGTATTCCAGATTGCCATTTGAGCGACAGACAAAGCAAGCTAGATCATGCCCTAGGCGGACATAACTTTGGTGGCTGATGGAAACCGTCTGAAGCGATAGGGGAGACAACCAAAAAATAGAAACACGATGCAACGAGTAGACAAAAATATTTGTGCATTGGCCAGGTGAGGATTCTTGATGGTAGCTCATTTAGGTGATCTGAGCACTTGCTGAAGTCACTTCCGCGTCGGTCTGCAAATAGACCCCAGCGGGAAACCAGAGCTCTTCCTGAGACTTCCTCTGCTGTCTCGAAACCGGAGGCGCTTGCAGCAGCAGAGCTTGAGCAGAAGCAGTGGTGCCCTTGCAAGGCCTGGAATGTCATTTGCATGCAAATTTTTGACTTGAGAATGCAGCCCAATCTGGTTAGGACTCTTCGCAAGGAGAGCTGGGTAGGCCATTTGCTGTATTTGCTTGAAATGAACTTGCCACCATCTCCTGGCTTCGAGAAGGCAACGGCGCTCAGAGCGTTCCGCACAGCGACCCAAGCGAGCTGCCCTTCTGAAAGAGTTTGCGAAGATCTCTGTGTGATGTGGTCCTTCGGTCCTTCTATTCTGCTTGACATTGCATTTTGCAAGGTGCGAATCGAAGAGTTGCCAGAATCTGGAGAGGAAAAGAAGAGCAGAGATCTGTGGTTTCACCTTCAATTGCCTCACTCCAAGAGGCTGTGGATCAAAACTGGTTCGCTGCTTGTCACAGGCTGTGATGGCTGCGAAGGCTTCAAAATCACCCGATCGTCAGGGTGAGGAGGATCGTGAAGCGCTCTCCTGGCTTGCGTTGCTGCAAGAGCATTTGCCTGCCAGGAAGAACTTCCTGACATTGTAGAAGCTCGTGCGGCGAGCTACAGCAGAGCTTTGCAGCTCTGCGCCTGCTGCCCTGGCAAGGACATGATGCGCCCCAACACCCTCCTCGGCTTGACAAATGCCTAGCATTTCCTTAGCCCGCAGCATGCATAGGCAAGGGTATAATTACATGTAATTACGAAAATTAATGCATGGAATGTTTGTTGGCTCATAACATGGAGTCTGAAATTCCCTCACCGCATTGAGCAGTTAAGGCTTGTTTGCAGCTCGGAATTCTTAAAACAGAAGCCAGTCGCATTCTTGAAGTTGTTATTGCATGGTCGGCTGGCGCCAAAAGATGTTGTGGGCAGGAAGTTAGGGCATTCGTGACAAGAATGAAAGATGCTGGAATGGCTTTGCTGCAGGAGGAGGATGGGCTAGCATGGATGGAAGAGATGCAGGACGCGGCCTAAACGCAGCGCACAGTGACGGAACTCAAAGCGACGTTGCAACCTCGGCCAGGAAAACGAAAACACCCGAAAGCTGATCAGCATCGCCGACTACTTGGCCGCCTTGCATGCCTGCGAGGCCACTGCCTCCTTGTCTTTAAGTGAGCCAACTAGCGGTGGGGCTCAAACTGAAGAGGCTTGCGAGGAGTCTCTGTTGCGTGCGTTTGCATTTCTCACGGAAATGCACAAGAGCGGCTGGCTTCTGAGGGCGCAAGTTGGTGCAAGTTGCAGGGCTGTTGACGTTCAGCGTTCAGTGAGGTCTCTCATTGGACACCCCCCTCCAGCTTTCCGAGGGCGCTGAGCAAGAGGCGTCCTTTGATTCAAGGATGAATATGCCATGACGTTGTTTGTGTTACGTTTGTGTTCGCAAGGGTGTGGCCTGGCTGAAGCACAAGCTGGGGGAAGACGTTTGGGATGCCTTGGAGCATCATGCGGATTCCTGGTTATCTCGTGCAAGCCAGAGTGCAGCGACTTGTTCCCCGTACAAAAGGTTCAGAGCCAAGAGTGAAGTTTGCCTCAGAATGTCAAGCCATGGCGTGAGCCTCGCAGGTCCGGAGGGGCGGTGCTGCGCCTGGGAAGCCTCCTACGCAGAAGCAGCCGCAGAGCCGGCCGCCGGAAAGAGCTGGACGAGCTGGACGAGAAAATGCGCCCGTGGGCCGCCGGGCGGCAGTGGGCAGTTGAAGCGCAGAGACTTCGGACTTGAGAAACTCAAGGCCCAGCTGCGCTGAGGTACAGCCCATGATGGATGCATTAGATTCCGACAGCCCGGCCGCCTTGACCAAGTTGAAGGAGACCCCAGATCTCGGTGCCTTTGCTGCCGACAGCCTCAGGCCTTTGAAGCTGAGAATTGTGCTGTCCGTGCGCAGCAATGTGCGAACGGCGGCTACTTGTAGTCAATGCTAAGCCGAAAGGCACCTCGGCATCATTGTCAGCACCAGCCTGAGCATGGCATTCTGTAAGATTGAGTGCGCACTGACGCAGATTTGGTGAGGTGACGCGAATGGTTGGTTGCGGCCATACTCTCTCCTGACTTTTGGCTGCTGTTGTTTCCATGCCAGCCAAGGCCTGCAGAGGCAGCGCAACAGCTTCGTAGGAAGGCCCTGGCCAAGAGCTTCGATGTGTTGCGGTGCATTTCCAGTGAGCTGGAGTCGAAGAAGCCCACCTGAAGCATGGAACTGAACCCTGGCCGAGTCCACTTGTGTCGGCTTTGGTGCTCAGCCCATGCACCATCTTCTTCCCAAATGCCTCACAGAACGGTTCCCGCTTGAAGTGGATGTGAGCTTGTCGAATTCGTGTGAGCGAACGTCTGCAGATATTCGGCAAGTCTCCAGGTGTGTCGCCATTTCAGGTGCGGTGCTGGGGTTTGCATGGATTTGCCGGTTTTGCAGTGTATCGATGGTTCGACGTTCCAAGTAACAGATTTTGGGCAGGACCACGGTCGCCAATTCTGTCTCATGACTCGTGTCTTCTTTGATGTCTCATGTCGTGTCCTGGCATCGCTTCTCGTGTCAATTTGTTCCCATCATGTTCTCTAATATTGTGCCAATTTGCGTTCTTGTCTGCTCTTTCTCTGCAAGCACGCCTTGTGCTCAATTGTCCTATATTGTGATGGCCTGCAAGTTTTGCGACAAAAGCGATCTCTCCTGGACAAAGCCATGGTTTTCTTTCAGCGGAGCAGTAACACGAAAAGCATGCTGACCCAGCTCTACAAGGTACCCCTGGTGGTGAGAGACGGAGTCTCTCTGGAGAATTTTCGACACCAGCATCCAATTTCTTTGTACATTTTTCATTCACTCATCAGATGCTGCCGGTGCAATGTCTGCAAAGAAGATCCTCCGAATTCCAGAAGTGGACCTGGCAGAAAAGGAGCAGAACGATGCACCGTAGATAGTCGAAGCCACAGTCTTGTTGATAAGCTCTTTGTTGCGAGGCCATGCTGGACAAGTGGTTGTCCTGGGGATCGGAAGGTGCGGGCTTGTCCTTAGAAAGCAGGGGTTGAGTGCGACATGCTGATGGTCCACAGGTCCGGGCAGCCTGGCCTGGATGGCGTTTGACTTGACGCACCAGGCAACAGCAATGCAACAGCTTCGTAAGTTTTCAGGCCTTGGCCAGACAAAACTTTGCTTGTTCCAGTTAGCTGGCCACTTGCATTCTGCCGGCGAGACGTACTGTCTGTGCCTCGTTAAATGCAGCCATGGAGCTACAGTCCACGCCCTCGCATTTTTTGCTAGGGCAACGGCAAGCATAGTCGTCTCTCACGAGCAAGCATTGATCAGCAGAAAAGGCCGCGGCCATTCAGTCGTGAGTCCGCTGATGCCATTGGACTGGATCTCAGTTGGTCAGCGAGACCGCAGTGGACTTACAAATCCAAACCTTGGATAAGGATGAGACGTTTGCTGGGGATGCTGAGCAGGTTGCAATGCAAGGACCCCAAAGCACTCAGTGCTGTGCTGGCAGCAACATTTGGGTTCTTCTTCCTCTCGTCTTGATCATGCGCTTTGCGGTGCGTTCTCGGGTTTCAGGCAAGCACTGGCACAGCGACTGCTCGAAGCAGGCAGATCAATCTTTCACAAGGTTGCCTGATGCGACCATGTGAGAGGTGGAGAGCCTGAAAACTTTGTGGAAGTGCGTGGAGCAAGACTCCCAAAGTGACATCCGCCTGAGGGTTGGGTAAGCGTCCTATGCGTGCCCCTTGTGGTAAGGTGGTGCTGCTCTACATGCCGTCTCCTCCCAGGACAGCTGGCATCTTTGCTGCCAAGCAATTCTTGCAGTCCGGTCCTGAAGTATCTGCTGGTTTTGGTGCAAATGTTTGATGTGGCTGCTATGCTATGAGGCTGTTTCCGTTGATCCAGATGCACATGGCCTTCGGTGATGGCATGGATCTTGGTGGCGCAACGCTCAGTCCCTGAGCTCTGAAGAGAGACCAGGGCTCGGCTCCTTCTGCTTTGCGGCATTGCCGAGGACTCGATCTCCCTATCATCAGGATTGGCAACATGCTGACACTGAGAATGCCGGTGCCACACCGCAGAACAAGGCCTGCAAGTGATGAACTGAGGCCATCCGGCAAAGCACAATCTGGGGACAAGGCACCCTACGGCAGGGTCATGTACCCAAGAAAGGCGTTTCTTGCCTTGCTGCTTGATGTGAGATCCTTCGGCAGGAGGCTCTTGCCGACGACAGAAAGTCCAACGGCAAACTGTCCAACGGCCACGCTCCAAACGGCAGGTAGCCCCAGGGCAAGTTAAAAGAAACATGTTCTGTGCAGTAAGCTGTCCTTGCGGTTGAGCAAGCCATGCCTCACTTCAAAACATGTTGTGCAGCCTTGTTGCAATGCTCGCATGTGGCAATGAGTTCGAGGTTTGGGCCAGTAGCCTACCTTTTTGCATTTGTTTGCAGCTTTCCAAGCTTGAACAAGCGAGAACATTCAACATCAGCATAACCCAAACTCAAAGATGATCACGGACCTAAAGTCTGGATTTGAAAGAGGCTCAAGCAAACCTGCAACAAACTTGTTGCGACCATTTAGGGCTGCCGTGCAGAGCAGGCAGCCCTCGCAATTTTAGCTGTCGATCATCTGTTCTGAATGTCATTGTGGTGCTGCTGAGGCGTGCAGGTCGCAATGGGGCGAAGTGCTTGATGGTGCTCGACTCGAAAAAGGATCAGGGCCGCAACCTGTTGCATTGATCCAGGCTCCAAGCAGATGCGAGAGAGTGCAACACGACACAATCCTGGCAACTCGATGAACGTGCCGCAGTGGTCCAAGCACTTGAAATCGGGTCTCGCCATTTATGGCGACTCATGGCCAGGTGGATGAAGCCGTTACAAGCCTTTAATGGACTCTTCAGGAAAGATGAGAGTCAACAGGCCGGTGTCTGTTGTGGTTGAAAGGCCTAGGAGCCCAGTTTTCTGAAGTGGCAAAGGAGTGTTATCCCTGAAGGCAGCCATGGATCAGCGAAAGTCGGCTTTGAAGAAAGTGGACAAAGGTGATCGTGACGTCGGCAGGACCGCAAATCGGTGCTTGATAATGAGGATGCTGTCGCATCTTTTCGTCTCCGCCCTGCTAGGAGCACGAGGAGCAGCCAGCAATTGCGCTTTGAGAAGGACTTCAAAGTGAAGGAAGTGGAGGATAACAAGGAAGCAAAGGATGCAAGGATGCCGAGATGTGCAAAGGAAATCCCGAAGTACAGAGAGGAGACAACCAGTCTGCAGGCTGATCAGGTTGATCTGTGTGTCTGCTGCCATGTGCACGGCGGGAGGACATTCAGGGAGGCTTTGGTGGCCCCATCAGGGCGCGGCCAATGCAACCTGTGCAAAAGCAGAACGACGAGCACCTTGCCTGCAAAAGTTCATGCTCATGTTTGAGATGTTTGCTTGAGAAAGAATGCCCCCTGTGCCTGTGGAGCAGGCTGAGTTGCCATGTCACTGCCGCCTATATGTCTGTTACTGGATAGGATCGAGGCAGGACATAGACATCTCACCATGTGGATGTGTCAGATCCTTCGCAAACAAGGCCTGCACCTCGCAGAGGAGCTTTCCTGGAAAGTGGCTGGGCATCGAACCTACGCAGAATCCGCAAAAGCGGACAATAGACTAGAGGTCTCACACTCACCCGCAAAATCGAGCACTCACCCTTTCGCAAACAAGAAGCCTAAGCACCCTTCGCTAAATTTTGCGGGCAGGGCGGCAGGGCGTGCAAGGAACGTTTGAAGATTGCTCCGAAGCACAAACAGGCACACCATGTACAGAGTCAGAGAGAGTAGAGCGAGCATAGGTTGTAGGTTTTCAGCATGTTTTCGATACTTGCATCAATGTGTTGACTGTTTGCCTGTCCACTTTGTTTCATCCCGCTTTAGGGCAGCAAGAACTGTTGCAGTTCAAGTGAGCAGCTCAGCCCTCTTGGTCTTCTCGTGATTTAGTTTTGCCTCTTCAACAGTGCACCAAAAGGGAGCATGTTACAGCCAAGTAGAATCATGTTTGGGCATTGGCTGCACGAATAAACAGCGCGGCATAATCATACGCTTTTTGAAGCCGCTGAAAGAGTAACTGCCCAGCTCTGGTAGTAGAGGCTCAGAGCCAGCAGTAGAACAGGTGTGGGCGCTTTGTACAGTAAGCGCTTGACATCATCTGTTGCAGGAGGGAAAACTTGCATCAAGCCACAAGCCATCAACCCAATGTCCGCTCACGTTTATGCGGTTGTGGTTCGGTATGTGGATATGTGGACCGCCAAGTGTTCAAGCCTTGATGTGTGTTGGGTGTTGGGTCCCCTTTGATCCACGAGAGTTTCTGTTCAATTGCAGCAGCCAGGCATGTTGAAGTTGAAGCACTGCTCCCAACTGGCATCGGGCCTATGATCTTGCCCGGACTTGCAGGTCCCATGGAGACGCTTGCCATGGGCGCCCTGAACAGCATGTACACTGTCGGAGTGGGAGTTGCATGTGCCGCCTTCGTGACCACTGAGTTGTGCCTGGATCAGCAAGAGCTCGCTATTGCTTCTCAGAACCTCGTTTGTCAATGCATCTCGTTTGGAGGCGGAGACGGTTTGACTTGACCAACGTCAACTTGAAAATGCAGCCTGGAGCAGTACTGTGGTTTCATGTGAGGCGTGTGTCTTATTCCATGTGCAGAGCTGTGTCCGCAGTTTGCAAAACAAAGCATGCGTGCCTTTCTGTCATACCCTCACTTTAGATGCCGTTCTGCAGACGAACGTTGATCAGCGCCCTATTTTCAGAGTGGGATGGGGCAGAGACCGAGGCAATCTGTGTCTATCCTCTGCCACAGCTTGCCAGAATCATGTGCATTGGGGACCACGCTTTTGGTGGCCTTGGCCATGCGTCTCTTCTCAAACCCAGACAGGCGAGCTGCACTTGGCTTTGAGTTATTTCGAGCACTATATGGCAAAACCCCAAACAGGAATGTCTCGAGCAATCCTGCCGAGATCCAAGTTTGGGCTTCTCAGTTGCAGGGCGTGCTTCAGCTCTAGGAAGCAATGAGCCATTTAAGCTTGCAACGCAGGAGCAGATCAAGCAGGAGTGGCCTGTTCTGATGGGTGCTGACACCCTGCTGGCTGTCCAGGCCATGCTGAGGCCAGGTGGGTCGCAGATCCAACACCGGAATCAATACGCAACCATGCATAAACTCAGCAGCCCATTCAAGCTTCAGGTTGCAATTGCCGATCACAGACCTTACACGCAATACGCAGACACACATTCCAGTGAATGTATACTAGTTGCTGGGGCCAATTCTCAACCAGTAGCCGAACAAGAATGGATGTCCACAAGAAGACCTGCTGGCTGGGATATTCACTGCATGATACAGCTTAGAGATAGCCAAGTCGTTCGGGCATCGTTCGAGGGTTGCTAGATTCGAGAACCCATCGACTTACAAATGTTCCGCTTTGGTACCCATCCTCTTGGAACCAGCGCGCTCCTTACGTGCCCAACGCCAGAGCGTCCCAACGAACCCCAACCGTGCCTATCCTTGAACTGCACAACCCCGAATGGTCCCCCAACCAGAGTTTCCCGATGGAGCGCGACCGAGAATGGGGGTTCCCGAGGTGAGACCATTCCGAAACAGGAGTTTTAGATGTTCAAGTCCCACTAGTTGAGATGATGGAGCATCAATGGGAAGCTCAGAATGGTGTAGAGCATGTCAAATCAGCGGCGTTCGTGTTAAACAGTAGCAAGATTACAGGGAATAGTGTACAGCAGGATCCATTGCAACACTAATGAAGCACACATAGCATTGTAAGCAATCAACCGCTTGGATTCGGTGGGTCGTATCCCATTTGAAGAAGGGGAGCAATTCCTGATTGTAAGCTTGGCAGACGCAAGAGAGACGAAGACCACCTCTAACATGACCTTTATTGATGCGAAGCAATCTTCAGTCAGTGTAGAACAATCGGGAGGGCTCACCTGCTGATGCTGATGGGACCATGCACTGCAGCAAAGCAATTGCCAATTTTCCTGAAGCATCAGGCACTAGCAGCACTAGCATTTATGTTAGCGGCACAGCTGAGAATTCCTCCATTTGTCTACAGCTTGCGCAAGAACTAGAGTGCAAGAAGTGCTTTGACTCGACCCGATGAAATATGTTAAGCAGCAGCTACTTAACTTTGTTGGGTACAATAGAAACGCAAGAGAGTGTCCATTGCGGAACTGGTAGTAATAGCACCATCAGTGTGGTATTCATACGTGGACACCAGATGTTTTTTTCCGGCCTTTACTCTTAAGAGCAATACTTCCCAAGCAAACCGAATGATTACCGTGCAGAATGGTGTCTTTCTCTACATCGCCTTTTTGCTGATGCTTTCGCTAGTCTCTTCATATCGCTCTTTGCTCACCTAAGCAGGTAACCCTTGTTTTCATCCTGTCTTCATTTGTTCTGTTCCGGTCATCTCAGATTTACACATTCACATTTTTTCATGTTTGCTGCTGTGAAAGCAGCATTCATGAAAGTACCATGACGAACTTACTCGACCACATACCGGTTCCGCTACGTTCTGTTTGTATTTATGGCACATGCACGCTTGCATGTACAAATTCAGTTTGGGTTTGGGTGTGAGTAGTCACTCCGACAACTTGGTCATGGCATAAAAAATCCTTGAAAACAACTCAAACCCGCAGATTCGAACGACAGCGCAACGTCTATAAATCTATAGATATATATGTATATGAATATATTTGTTTTGGAGGGGGGATTCGTTTCTGTCTTCTGCCTCTTTTGCTTTAACGGTTATCACATGGTCAGCACTCAGTCACTAAATCACAGTGTTCTCAGTTTCACAATGCGAGAGGACTGATTGTTTATTTATTTCTTCCATCATCCAACTCAGCTACGTGACCTACACCGTTGTTTTGACATGTATTTGGTTGCAATACACGGCTTCAAGTGGCAAGCTCATATCACAAAAGGCTGATGAAGTTCTGGTCTTGACATGTCTTCACCATCAAAGATTTCAAGCACTTGTTGAACATGGAGCTAGAATGTTTTGTGACTTGACTGGGTGCCCTTTTTCCAAAGAAGCTGCACTGGCTGTTGCTGAATTTGTTGAAGTTGTATATTGCCGCATTCCTTTTTTCAATGAAAAGTTGTGCTTCCGATGGTGTCCCCCAAAAGTTGTCAACTTGCTCAAGACTACACCCGTTCCATCCAAGAACCGCTAAGTCTTGGAGGATTTTGCCGATCCTTCCTTAAACTCTTGAGAGGGAAGTAATCCGAAGCAGCCTCCCACTGAAGAATACCCCACATCCGCTTGAGATGTCCCTGGACTGTCCTAAACTTTGAGAAAGGCAACACGTTACTGAATGTCGTGCGTCCAAGAAAGTTCTCGATGCGCCCAGGATGTTCCTAAAAGCTCATCGTGCCCATCCAGAAATATCGCAACGACAGCCAATCCGGAAACTAGAAATGAGAAGCTGACAGATTTTTGATGCCATCCTTGAGCAGTCGAGGAGACTTGTTGAAAAGATGAACTGACGCGGACTACTGGGTGTCAAACCTGATGAGATGTAGACTGTTACTTGACTTTCAGCCTTGTCGTGAATCATCAGAATCATCAATCACGCTTGAAAGCCTTCTCAAGGATCTTGTTTTGCTGACCTTACATCCTTTGTAAGTCTTCAAGACTGAACCCTGAAAAGGTGGTTTCGTTGCTTCCCTGCAGTGTGGAAAGTTCAGAACATCTGCAACGGTGCTGCAGCTGCTGCATGATCTTTTGTTCACCTCAACGGGCCTTCGAAGTGGCTGTTGTGCAGACCAACTGTGCGCTTTACACAGTTCAGAGACAACTTAATTTGATTGGAAGCCCGGGTTTTGTGGTGAATTGCCGATGCTGGATGTTGCCTGTTGGCTTTCCGTGGCAGGCTTCTCGTGTGGGCTGTGGTCGTGCTGCGAACTCGATGTGCGGTAACATCACCCCTGTCAGGACAGCATAATACAAGCCAAGAAGGAAGTCATTGAGCACAGCTGAACATGTTTGTTTGCAAGGATCGTCTTCCATGCTCTTCTTGTCAGCGGCCGGAGCGCGCAGCCTGCTTGCGGTGCAGACTGCAGCCTACGGTCGCCTGCAGAAAGGATACCTGTGAGATGCTGGCTTGCTTCCTCTGACCCGCAGGCCTGGATGGCCCTCTGGGAGGTTCTTTTGCCGTCTTTTGTGAGGCTCGCTGGCAGTCATGAGCTGTGTCTGTCAAGCATGTGCTGTGCAGGCGACCTCTGCTGCATGGCTCACAGCCATGTGCTCCAAGGTCGGTGCAGGCACAGGAAGGAGTGCCTGGAACACTTTGCAGAGCCCGCTTGCTGACAGTTTCCGTGCACTCGGGCGCTGCCTGTGCGATGGCGCTTTGGGCCGCGTCGCGGCACTACCTGAACTTGTCGGGCTCCGAGCCCGGAGGGGACTTCTCCCACGACAAGCGGCTTGGCACTGCTTTCAGAGTTTGAGACATTTCCTTGCTCCTTTCTTCAGAACTCTTTTCCAGGCTCTTCATCCTTGCGCATTGCCTCGAGTTCTTTGCAGCAATGGCTTTTCTTGCGCAGTCTGTGCGCTGCGTGGTTGGGGTCTCTGAAAGTCAGGGCCGCACGCTGGGTCCGCGCAGGTGGGGCCCTGCAAGCAATGAAGTTGTTCAGCTCATTGACAGTTGCAGGAGTCCGTGGGATGGCTTCGTGTACTTGATCCTTGCAATCCAGCAAGCTCTGCCGGCATACTACTTCTTGACAGCCTTCGCACCTTCGCAAAGTCTCGTAGGCCGGGGTCTTGACAAGAAGTGCTGCCTGCTGGCACTGCTTCGCATTGAGCTAAGGTCAGGGCCGACCATTTTGCGTTCTGATAATGGCAAACTTGCTTCAATTGGCATTCTTACTCTGTGCCCTGGCCTTCTATCTGGCTGGCCTGCTGGGCACCGACTCGAGCGTGCAAGCAGAGGGAGATGACGACAGCGCGCAGGGGCCACGAGCCTTGAGCCTTCACATTCATCGAGTATGAAATGCTTAGTGCCTACATGTCGCATTGAATGAGCTGCATGCCTCTGGAAAAAGAGGGTCGAAGGGAGACCATACAGCTACTGATGCACAGCGTTTGAACATTTGAAGCGTGGCCTTTTCCTGCAAAGGTGTCTCTGAGGCTCTGACAACAAACAGAGTTTTTTGGACAGCAGGCAGTGAAAGTAGTATGGGGCGACAGCGCACAGAACAGGAGACCCCATGAGCCATGGGTACGTTGCTGGACGAGAAGACTACATGGGCCGAGTTCGGCGGCAGCCTGAGGAAACAGTGTGAGCTCCAACTGAGCAGGGTCCAGGAACGAACAAAGAGATTGCAGGTAAGCAGCACCTGGATCGACGGCTGACAAAGGCCATGGGTCTTCCCTGGTTCTATTCATCTCTCGACAATGCGAGCATCTGATTAATTTGGGCGGGAACCCCCCCTCCGGATGAAGAGGAATTTAATTCTTCGGTCATTGGGGCTCTTGGACCTATTGAAAAAGAATAGGACCGTATTGAGTCTTCAAGTTTTTGCAGTAAATGTGGTTTAAACTACTTGCTTAACTCTACTATCACCATGGATTCATCTTTAAATGTAGTCCAGTCCCTCTTGCCGATACGAAATCCACTCTAATTCAAAGATACTCATCAGACCCGAATTTCTACAAACAAGATTTACTGTATAAATACAGTCAATTTAATAAAGCTGGTGCTTGGATTAGCGATCAGAAAGAGGCATTGACAGACACACTGCAGTTGCAGAGGCCAACGCAGCAACCTTGGCAACTGAAGTTGCAGTTTTTCTCAATGGCACCCACATCAGAACAAATGCAGAGGCTGGTTCAGTCCCGCGGCATCCCCGTGGCTCTGGAGGGCAAGGATGACTGCTCTGCACCACACGGTCTTCCTTGAGCTATTCCAACCACTGAATTCAGAAAGGACCTGCTATGTCGAGCACGCACTGGCAGCGGCAAGACGTTGTGCTATGCCATACCACTCGCCGATATCTCAGGTGTAGTGATGTTGTAATTTGTTTTGCGTGGCATCTGGCAGCCTCCGGGCAAAAGGCATTCTCAGTACTCAGGTCCAGCGTTTGCTTCAGGAGGTGGAAGCCAAAGGCAAGCAAGCCCTGCTGGACGCCATGTCTTTTTCACAGCTACGTATCTGCCCTACAGGTGCTGCGACACCTCTGAGTGGCCTCATCCTAGTTCCCACCAAGGACAGTGCTGCTCAACATTCCTTCCTGTGAAAGAGACGGAATTGAGACATACTCTCCAGCATCGTGAAGGCCTCAAGTAAACAAGTGGTTTACGCGTGTCAGGGCAGGGGTGGAGTTCGTGATGCGTGGTGCGCGGTTCCGCATTAGATGCGCCTGTCAAGTCCCGTGCCAGGAGCTGATAGCGCAGGTTCACCGTGTGGTGACCTCTCTGCTATCCTTGCTTGTTTGAGTGACTAGCCGCATCAGATGACACCTCTGCCGACGACAGGCTCACCTTCTGCTTCGATGTTCTAACAGTGGACATCCTCTTGTCGGGTGTCACTGCCTCAGAGCTCATTTGATGCCTAAATCGTACATCCTTACGTGCTGCTTAGGAGAAGTACAGCAAAGCAGAGTTGCCTGTCATGATCCTTGCCTGCACCTTCTATTGCGGGCATTTTTTTTAATCCCTTCAGCATCGTTTGTTTTCGCAAGCCACGCCTGCATCCGAGAGTGTTTGCCTCACACCTAATGGGGCAGGTTGGTGACAACGCCTTCCTCGCTGCTCGCCTTGGTGAAGCAGCGCCAGGCAATCTCAAGAATGCACCGATTTGGAGTATGTTGGGAAGCATTGCTGGCTTCCTTTACCTGCAGGCCCGCGGGGCGATGAGAGCGCTGTCAGAGACACTCTGCCACGTTGGGATCGTGTTCAGCCATGACCCATAAGAAGACGCATAAGTGAATGCCAGGACACTGAAAGTCTTGATCCTGGATGAGGCCGACCTCATGTTCTCTTATGGCTATGAGGATGACGCCGACTTCTCAAACACAATTTAGAAATCTGGTTAAAATCCTTCAGCTAGCTGCCTTCCAGGTCAAGGCTCTCTGTGCCTTGATGCCGGCGAAGTATCAGGCAGTGTCTCCGCCCCACCAGCAGTTCTGTTGCTTGGTGGGTTCTTGTTTAAGGCGATGTTGGTCTCTGCCACATTGTCTGAGGAGGTAGAGCAGCTGAAGGCACCGATGGATCTGAGATTTCTTGTATCGTTTCTTTTTATATTTTCTGTCATGTCCTACTAGGGCCTCATGCTTCACAAGCCCGTCGTCCTCAAGCTCGAGGAGCCAAGGGTGACTGGAAAGTTGTCCCAGCCCATGTCTCAGGAATGTGCTTCCTAACTGATACCCACCTCTGTACCAGCATCATCAGATTCTACTTCATCTGCCACAAGACCGACAAATATCTGATCATCTACACGCTTCTGTGCCTCCTCTGCAAGACAATCCAATTTCTACCTAGAGATGCTTGTTAATATTGTCAGCTTTCATTCTCCCTTCGAGGAAACTCCAGCTGATACAGGGCAAGACGCATTGAGCCCAGCAATGGTCGTCTAACATGCAGGTTCCTTTCATTACATGATCCGCTCGCCCATGCTGAAGGTCGAATAGAATTCATGAATTGGAGTGCTTGATGTCTCATCGATGCATTGCCGCCTTGCGTGCAGCAATGAAGAAAGGCTCCCTCGAGTCTGCCCAGCTCAGGCTGATTTTTGTGCAAAGCGTCGAGGCAGCTTACAGGCTGAAGATTTTGTCGTTTTCCCGGCTTTTTTCTGTCTAGTTCCTTCAGGATTCCCTACTGACATCTGCTTAGGCTGGAGCGCTTCAGCATAAATTCAGCCGTGCTGAACTCTGAGCTGCCACATGCCAGCCGTTTGCAGCCCAGAGTGAAGAGATGACCTTTGATAAATTGATAGTTTCGAGAGAATTTCTGATCGATTCGCGAAATCAGAGGTCAAAACATTATCGACTCCTTCAACGAGGGGGCTGTTGAGCTCCTCATTGCCAGCCACACGGACTGTCGTCACATGACGTGTGTCGCGGGCCGGATCCCAAGGCCACAGATGAAGGCCTTGGAGGAAATGAGGACACAACGTCAGTTAGCCTTTGTGGAGCCTGGTGGTCTTGGGAGTTTGCTTAAATACGCAAGGAAGAAGACATGGCAGAAGAGGAGGCCTCTGCAGATCCGTTTGCCACCGCTGCTGAATCTGCTTGGTAATGGTGGCTTCAGCAGGGATTAGTCATGGGTTCACAGCTTCTCTCCAGAACATACCAGCTTGTCAAAGCTATCAAGATGCCCGAAGACCCGGTATAGGAGTGGGGGATGGTGCAGGGTTCTCGCCTCATCCTCATGGCGCCGTCCCGATGAGCTCCCAAGAAGCAGGGAGCGCTGGAGACATAGCAAATGCAGGAGAGGGAGACGTGGCAGAAATGAGGGTTTCTGTGTGCATACTATGTCATTCCTTCACCAACAGGAACCTCCTCTCTGCGGCGTCTGCGGGGCAGTTTCTAGAGCTCAGGAAGCTCTCGGCAAACGCTGAGACACTTGGACGGCCTGACTGCCACAAAAAGCTTGGCTTGCTTCACGTGATCTGATCTAGTTTCCCCGCAGGTGGAAGTCGTCACCATCATCGTCATGGCGGCTGACGAAACTTACGTGAACTGGCATTGATTGCGGCAAACGGAATTTCGGAGCTTTCGCCGATGGACCTTGCAAGCGGAGCATGGCAGCCAGCAAGGCCCCGCAGGGACGATGCGTCACTGACAAATGCCACAGGCTCCAGCATGGTGGCCACGGCGAACTAGTCCACGGCGCAAGCTTCAGCAAATGCAATGTGTCTTGGCAGGGACGGTGCTTGCAAACTGTTGGAAGGGGTGGAGCCTTTCCTCTCACCACCACTTCGCTGAGGTGTGCCTTCACGCGTTTGATGGCCAGCAGCGAGTAGATGCGTCGAAGCTTCTCTCAGATGCCCCTGAGCTTCAACGATCTGAGCGCAAGTGATCTTTCTGAAACTGTTTGGGCATTCAGGAAGTTGCAGGCCCAACCTCCAGAGTCCTCGAATGACCGCTTGCCAGCCCTGCCATGTCACAGTTTGCTCCCGAAGGAGCCTGCGAGCTTAGTGCAGGCCGCAGCTCGCCCAACGACCGACAGCCCTCCACTTCTCGAAGCGATTGCTATCAGTGCCATCTGCAGCATCTTTGAACCCAGCCCACGCAACATTGCGAACACCTCTCGGACCTTTACGGCAATTAGATTTCAGAATTGACTTCTCTTTTAAGCAGCTGTCTGACAAGCCGTGCCGAGCATGGCTGAGTTCGGAGTGCAGAGCCCGTCCAACACAGCTTGAAGACTTGGTCGTTTGCTGGCCCTCGATGCGTCATCGACGGAAGTCCCTTCAGCGCAGGCAATCTGGCTGCTGTCTCAGCACGTGCAGGACGATCCCGCAGGCTTGGATGTTGTGAAAGCAAAGAGCAACTTATCTGAAGACTTGTAAAGACCAAACTCAATGCCCTCAGTGATCGCCATAGACCCTGATGAAACACCTTCGCACCCTACTAACAACAGTCACCCCCACACTCGAATTTAGAAATTTTCAGAGCGGTTTCGGCACAAGAGTGCACAAGCAGCGATCGCAGTGTCTCAGGGCCCAGCCAGGTCCCAGCCATGGCCTTGGAGCCTTGGAGCATGTGCAGGAGCCACACCCTTTGCCGTCTGTCGAGTAGAGGAGAGATGAAGCAGCGCTTCACCAAAGCCTCGGCAACCACCAACTCTCTGTGAGATGCTCGCCGATGCCCAAGAAGCAGAAGGAAGAAGAAGGCAGAGGACCAGAGGATTAGAGGAGCAGCTGAGCGAAGCACCGAGGCATGGTCCATGGTGCTAGAGGGCAGGAGATTTTGCTGAAGAATTCGGAGGGGTGGCAGAGCAAGAGACAGGCTTTGGCCTTGGCATCAGCAGAAACTGCTAGAGAGGGAGCTGTCTTACGTGCTTTGCCACCTGCCGATTCGAGGGTTTGGGGCATCTTACGGGCGAATCCAAATAGGCTTCCATACGCTGGCGGTGGCGGGATCCTGGCTGAATGCCACGAGTCTCAAAAAGCGCGACTACAGGTCCAGCCCGCCAGCTTCCCAGCAAACTTCTTGGGAAAGGTGCCTCCCACACCCTCAAAAGGGACGCCTTGAAAGACTAGGTGAGGTCTCACCTCAAAATCGGAAGATGTAGGTTTTCTGTGGTATGCCTCGTGCATCCTCGTACTGTTTGAGCTCCGAGATCAAGGGACAGCGAAGAAGCAGGCATCCCAGGATGATGCAGCACAAGTGCCCGTTGTCGCCTTCAGCTGCGAGAAGTTGCAGCCCAGCACGTGCACCCACCGCCTTCAGACATGCTGAAAGATTTGGTGAGTTTACTCGTCTGATCCGATGCCGGCCAGACTTTGCATGCTGAGCTTCAAAACAGGCGCGCACATGTAGGCCAGGTTGTGTGAAGCGAAGAGGCTGGCTTCGAATCATGCTCTCAGGCAAGATGCAGAATCTGTCGAACGTGGTCCGGTCTTTCGCGGCTGCTGCGCACATGAACAGCGTGTTTATGGACTTCATTGCTGACCAAGTGGTTGCCAGGATCCAAGAGGTTGACTCGCGGAGTCTTGGCAACATTGTTTGATGGTTCGCGCGCTCGCTTGCCTTCAGTCTGCCGCTCCTTGAAGCCTTAGAGGAAAGAGCAACAAGCTCTTTGAAAGAATCTGTGAAGCGGGAGGCCCAAAGCGTCTCCAACTCTGTTCGGGCCTTCGCGCAGTCGAAGCTTCAGAGCTAAATCTTCTTCTCTGCGATGGGTGAGGCTGGTGTCAGCTGTGACTTCGATGCCCAGGGCACCGCAAACAGCTTGTAGGGCCACAGTACTTGCAACCTTCTGATTTTGCCTCTGACGTGCAATTTGTGATGGCAAGCGCGGGAACAGGTCTCCACCCTCACAGCACAGAATCTCAGCAATGCTGTTTGGAAACTAGCACGGCTTCAAGTACATGATGCGGCTCTGACAAGCTCAGCAGGTTATTAGGCGATTGCAAAGCATGTGGAGCTCCGACCGCAGAACATGGCAAACAGGCTACAAACTCCTGGCACAGCAGGCGCCTGGTCAGGGTGGGTCAGGGCTTTCAGCATGCAGATTGCACCCGCTTGTTCTTAAAGATCATGCGTATTCATGTTGGTGTCTCAGACAGAAGCCAGGTGCTCGAGGTGTGCCTGTATTCGACGTTATGGGAAGCTTTGCATTGAGCCGCGGGACGTTGGTGGAATTCAGTTGCCAAGATCCCTCCAACAGGGCCTGAGACCCTGCAACTCTTTCAGTTTAGCATCTGCCATTCCTGAGATCGCCTTCACTTTTCTGCCAGTTGCGATTGCATTAGCCTGACCACCAGAATCCAGCAGCTACTGCATGGAAACATAGCTTGCTGGACTGGCACGGATCAGCACCTCTCCTGCCTCTGGCATCCTATGCCATTGCCCGGATCCGGGAGTTTGGGCCCCTGAGCTTGGTAAGCTTGGCGTTGGCTTGTGCTCGGCCTGGCTGGCACGGGGAGAATCTACTTGCCAGCATTGCTCATGCTGTGGTAACCAGCATAACGGAATTCACCGCGCAGGGCCTGAGCAACCTAGGGCAGGAATCCGCGACTTTGGGACTTTTGCAGCTTCCGCTCTGCAAAGTGCTCGCTTTCGAGGTGGGGCTTTCACAACGCAGTTAGCTTGCAGAGCATATTTTCCACATGAGCAGGCCGTGGAGAAAATGCACGAGCTTGGGTGCCAGGGCCTATCCAACGCGGTTCGGAGCTACACGAAGCCCAAGCACCCGCACCACTGTCTGTCGAGCACTTTTTGCACGCGCGCCGTTACGCTGATCGAGGAGTTCCTTCCACAGGAGCTCTCCAACGCAGTCCGAACCCTCACCTCACTCCTCCTACAAGACGGAGCATCGTCAGATTCCGCTGCAGCAAGGGTTGCCAGAAGCAAGTTAAGTCTAAGTCATCAAGATACCGCCAATGTTGTTTGAGTTCCTCGGATGCAAGATTGCCTTCGTTTTCGTAGGGAGTTGTTGATCTGTTCTTGCATCGCCCTAGAGCAAGTACGAGCTTCGAAATTGCTTTCAGGAATCGCACTTGGTAAGTATAAAGAAGGGGGCAAGAAGAAAGGTAAGTGGTATGCGGGAGGCAAAGGTAAAGGTAAAGGTAAGGCTAAGAAGGCGAAGGATGCAAGGAATCCTCGACTTTGCTACCGAAACATTAAGCTATACCTGTGTGCTTGTAATGTCTACTTGATGAGCCTACCGTTTTCGTAGTACGAAAAAGGGACTCCTCCGTGTGTGGTCAAAATCCTGATTGAGTTACGATGGCTTACAAGGATAAGACAAGATGAATCATGCTCAAGAGCTATTCTAAATCGAATGTTCCTCCTAGTACTGCCAAGACAGGATACATGCAAAAAACGGGCAGCAGCTGCTCGAAGCAAGTTCTTGATGGCCTAGCTGCTACGTGCGGACTGTGCCAAGTACAGCAATCCACGTCAGAGCAAACATAACACCACCTAGTGTTCCTTACAACGCAAATCGTTCTGGTAAAGTGAAACGGGCAAGTCCACAACTGTGCTGATGCTGGTGCGCATGTCGTTTCTCTGGTGGAGCTGCGATGGGGGGCCGGTCCAGGAGGCGAGGCCCGAAACGAGGTCCAACAGATGCAAGCAAGGCTCAGCAAACAACGGGCTTTGGTATACGAGGCACATCTGACCGTAAATGTTGCGTTGGGGCAAAGAAGGTTGGAGGGAAACTTTCCGTAGGCCGAAGGGCAACCCAGGTCGACACTCACTCACTCACCTACTCACTCACAAATTGATGCGTTGGGGGGACTCATTCAGAATGTCTGCATCTGTAGGGTTGTCCGAGTGTGTGGCATCCCAGGCGTACGCCCGCTTGCGAGCCACTGGCTACCTGCTCCCGGACTGTGTGTCGACGTGCGGCTCTATGTTTGAGTCTGACGTCTAAGGCCTCTCCAACACTGTGTGGGCCCTGGCTGAAGCTGCACACCAGCAGAAATCGTTGCTGCATGCATCCTCCTTCGCCTGCTCAGCTACTTTGCTGCACATTTGGGCAGGAAACTCTTTTTCGTGTGAAGTAGCGTCCCTGACATATGTCGAGCGATGTAGAAAGAGTAGTGGAATCATGTGGGGGTGTTCGCAATTGAGGCAAAGTTGGCAGAGTCTGAGCTTCAGGGACCCGCGAACTCGGCCTGAAGGATCAGAACTACGACTGACGCACAGAGCTCGTTGATGGAAGCTTTGACATGCAGATTGCTTCAGCATCCACATAGAGATGCTGGAGGCTCGTGCAGCATAAAGATGCGGCACAGTGCCGCAGCATCGCAGCATGCCATATTAGTCTTGTTGCCTGTTCCAGGCTGCCACCTGGGCATCTTGTGGCCCTTGTGGTGTGCGGGTCAAGGCCGGCAACTGGCAAGTCAGCCTGGGAGCTCATGGGAGCTCATGATCTCATATCGTTGCCACAGGTGATGCCTTGAGGGCGCTTCTGCCGCAGAGGCCAGTTCTGTCTACTCCTGAACACCTCTTTGAGCCTCTTGCAGTCCCAGTCCGAGTCACGTATGCCAGGATGAAGGATGAACAGCTCGACGGTGTAGTGCTGGGCTTCCTGATGATGCTTGCAGTCTGGGAGAAGGACGTGGCGACCGAGCAGAGCCTTTGCAGACAAAGACTGTGTCCTGCATATGCTCTTCACCACGCTTGGCGCTTGTCCAAGTCTTGGCATGCTGATTTCCGAGGACCGTGCTCGGGGCAATGATGAGCTCGACTACATTGCGCCTGCCCTCCATCTTCGTGCAGGTACATTCGTGGGTGCCTGCTGATGTGGGCTTCGAGGCCTTGCGTGGGTTGGGGAATGGTTGGGGAAAGTGTCAAGAGAAGTCAAGTTGCAGGTTGAGGTGCCCTGACTGAAGGAGTTCCTGCACCGGAAATACCACAAAGTGGTCCGCCTGGTCGACTTCATGGCTGCCAGGGGAGCTTCCAACCCAGAAGCAGTGATTGATGCCTGCGAGATCTTTGCACAGGGGAGCCAAAGGCAGTGGCTGAAAGTAGCGGGCGAAGCGAAAGCCCAAGCTTTCAAGATTATTTTAGCCTTTCTGTACTGTAGTTACTAAGTGGCCTCCAGTGTCAGCTTTTCTCATCTTTGAGAGCTGCTGTTCAAGGTTATCGATTCATATCTGGCCTCACGGCATGGCCCGGAGAGGGCCATCGTTGCCGAATTCGGATCCTTCGTTGGCTACTCCTGCGTGCGAATGGCGTGGCGGGCAGGACTGCTCCAACCGAGTGCAGCTCTCACAGAAGGCGTAGCGGCATAGAATGGCATGGCAGTTCATTTGAGAGTGCACCCGCCAGGATGCAAGCACATAGTTTCATTAGAGTCTGATGCCGTCCATGTTTTGGTGGCTCGGCACATCATTGCCCTGGCTGGGCTATCACCACATGCGGAAATAATGCCTGGGATGGCGCACGACGCACTGGATCGCCTACTTGAGGACTGGGGCGCAGGCTGTGGCGAGTGAGTGCACTTGAACACCTGTAGGTTCTTCACTTCTTGCCTTTCTTGCCTGTGCTCAGGTGGTGTGGATTTTGCTTTTCTGGACCACCGGGGCACACGCTTCCACACAGAGTTAATCCACTTGCAGCGCTCTCGGGCTCTGAAGGGCCGTGTCTTGGCTGATAACACGCTCAAGCCTGGATCGCCTGAATTCCTGTGGTTGCTCTACCAGGCGCAGGGCCGATTAACAACTTGGGTCAGACATTCTCACTCCTGAGCGCGAATACCCTGAGGGCTCTGCGGATGGTGTCGTCTCGTGGTCGGTCCCCGAGTTTCTTGCTGAAATGTGCGAGGACTGGATGACCACATTGGAGACCTGAAACCTGTGAGTGTTCTTAGTACAAAGTTACGGATGGCACTACTTGTACCATGACCATGCAGCCGGACATCGACATCAGATCCAAGCGCATATGGCGCAGTGCGGAGATTCCACTGCTCCGCAATGAGCGCAACTATTTCATGCCAAAAAATGAGGGTCCACATGATGGCGCTTGTGTGACGGATGTTAAGCTTCTGTGCTGCATCGTAGAACTCATTTGCGCGGTAGTGGATGTACAAGCCGGGACCTCCAACGGGAACGAAGATCTTATCGAATGAATGCTTTGGGTATGCCTTGAATAACTTCAACAGCGTGTGCTGAGCCTTCCTGGAGTCTGATCGAGCCCACCAGGTCCAGAATGTAGGGCTATGCAGGGGTTCTACAAGGGAGACATCCTGGAAGTGACCGAATCATATCTTGGCTTGTGGCTTGTGCTTCTGGCACTCTGAGCAAGCTTGCGCAAGCTGGCGAGCGTCAGTTGCGGAAAGACCTGCAGAAACTGTAACTTCATAATCTGTTTCGGTTTTTCATGATGCGCGTTCGCCCGACATGCATCACGTCATCTTGATGCCATTCTGGATACGGGAATACGATGCGCACGGTGTCACATCTGAAAGTTAGTTTGGATTGCTGCTGCATGTTGTGTGAAGTGCTCTGGGTACCGCTTTTGGACGTTGGACGAGGACTTGCAAAGCTGTTGCCAGGTAAAACCAGCCTCGACTAGCTCAACTCACAGATTCCTATCTTTTTATCAGCAGTACTTGCAGCCCAGGGGTTAAGACATTCACCTTTGGAATGAATTTCTGCAAGAACTGGCCATCCTGTGTGTGGTGGTTGTCGCACCTCGCCAGCTTCTCAAGCAACTGTTGGTTCATTGCCCTAGAAATATGGAGGCTTATGGAATGCTTAGAGCTTGGCAAACCCGAATCCCTTTTCCTGATTGCTGCCAGCTCCATGCTGTAACGTGCACATGTGGACAGCCCTAGCTACGCAGGTTGATGAGGAGGAAGAGGAAGAAGAGGAGGAAGGTGAAGAAGATGAAGAGGTACAGTCCTGACTGTAGTTCCACTTCTGAATTTGAACACGAGAGGATCTCAGCAGATGGGCCATGCGCGCGGCCCTGCTGTGCTTCAGGTGGATGGCAAGGAGGACCTCAAGACACCCAAGAGTGACAAGGCATGGGCTTGTGCGTAGAATGTTGGATGGAGTCAAAGTCAAAGCATGTTTGCCAGAGCTTTTGCTTTCCAGGCCGCTGCCGAAGCTCCCACTGCTCGCAGGTTAGCTTGCAAGTCATGATACCATTTTGTTTTCTGCTCGTGCTCCTGACCAGTCCCAAGGTCCGCACTGCGGAATAAAGCGCCCCCAGCGCACGAGGCGGAGAGTGCAAAGGATGCAAAGGGTGCGGAAGAGGGTGAGGAGGAAGCTGACGAGGAGGCGCAGTGTCTCCGAGGATGTGTCATGATATGTTGAGCTCCACACCGAGAGGATGAAGAGGTTGATCCTGCATCCTCAGCTCAGAGCTCAAAGCCGGCGAAGCAGTTGCGCTTCAACTTGCCACCGCAAAAGCGCGGGCGCAAGGCAAAGGCAGGGTTCAGGATGTCTGCAGATATCAAATGATGTCACCCAGCTTGCACGCGACGTGCCAGGACGAGCAATACTCTCTCACTCGAGGCGTGGACTTGCAGGGAGCCTGGGCCTCGGACGAAAGCCCGTCGCAACTTCTGCAACATCACGGCCTGGAGGTCAGTACGGTTCTGAACGCAGATGTTCCAACATCGGTGCGGGACTACGTCCGGCAGCTCAGACATTTAGGAGGCGCGGATTGCTAGGACTTGAACAGAGTTGCGGCTTGAGGTGCACCGTGTGGGACGCTGCGCGCGCGGAGGGGCTAGCGGCACCGCGTTCTGCCCTTGAGACGTGGCTGCGAGTGCCGGGTGCGGAACTAGGCATGTCAATGCACATCCATTCGAGGCTTACTATCTGCACCCATGAAGAGCAGTGTCTGGCTGAGATTCAAATGTCAAGATGTGCCCTGTGTTCCCCGTGGCCCTGTCCCTGGCCCCGGTTGCAGGCCGATGCTATCCAAAATCATCCAGGCCCAAAGCCGCACAGGCCCGATGCTGCAGACAGGATGCTTGTATCATTTTTGCATCTACGCCAGCCGTGCGGTCAAGGTACTGGGCTGCAAGCCCTACCAATGCAGATCTCAGACGCAGAGCGTTTCCGTTTCCTGGCAGCAACGGTCTCTCTTGTCCACCAGCCATTGCATTTACTGCGGAGAACCCAGGCTACCGCGTAGAAGACATGGCCAATGTCTCGATGCCATGACGCACAGGAATGCCCGGAATTTCAACTCCAGCTGGATTTGAGGCAAGAGGCCTCACAAAGAAGGCGATCTCGAAGTATCGGGCTCGTGAGCTGCAAATGGAGGCCTGAGATGCTTCACTGCTTTCCGCGCTACGTCCAAGCTCTTGATGGCAACCGGTTGAGGCTTTACATTCTGAGAAGTTGAAAGCATACTTTGAAGAACACCCAGATGACAAAAGAGCCCTGCAGAGGAGCCGTGATGTACTGAAGCCTCAGACCTTTTCTGATTTGCTTTGCTTTACCTTTGTGCTCTATACCAGTGGCAGAGCTTGCGAAGGATGCAGCGAGCCCTTCGCGAGCGGAAGTCTGTGAGACAGCATCTGAAAAGTGCTGTGGTCCCAGACAATTCAAAGCAATACACAGGGCCCCCCAGTTTGAGCGGATTGTGCCGAGATCCCATCCTACTTGGTGCCAGAAGCCTTTCAAAAAACTACGCCTGCCAAAGGCCTCAGGATCCAATACCGCTCAGATTCTTTTTGCAAAATTGCTGAGAAGCTGAGGTTCAGAAGGCGGTTCGTGAAGCCAACGCAAGCGCAGGAAAGCCGACCAGCGCGGTGAGGCGGTGGCTCGGCACGTTTGCTCAGATGAGCGTTCGACAAATTGGCCGGGCTTGCTCTGGCTCTCCTTGCCTAAGGAAGCGCTTGATGAAGGCAAAGCAGCAGGAACCAGCTCACTAGCTTCTGGGATCCCTGAGCCTTCAGAAGTTGAGAGCGCTCGTCACTTGGGCATTCATGCTGCGAGGATCCCTTGCGGAGCTTTGACGTTCCGGGCGTTGAGAAACGAAGCAGCTCCCTCAGTACCTTGTGGCTCAGCTACCAGCTATGTGCATCGTTTCGAAAATCTTCTCCAGAGTCTGCAGACTTGCCTGCACTTAGGGGATCGCTTCACGCGAGACAGAATGATTGTGGGGAACTTGTTTGTGCTGTTTGTGCTTGTGCCGAATGCTCAATGTATTCAGGCAAAGGACAGGAGGATGGACCCCACGACAACCAACGTCGAGGCCTGCGCCTACCATGTTCCAGTCTTGCTTATTTGTGCGCCGCAGCCCGCACAGGCATTGCCTCCCCTGTCCCGGCACAAGCTTTGGAAGTCGAATGCTCAAAGCGCAGTCACATACCGTCAGTTGCAAATTGTGACCAGAAGGTCTCCATTCACCCTTGTCTTATATAGGTTGCAGCACGGCAAGCGCCTTCGCAAGCCCACCGACGTCCTCGGTGAGCGGCGGCGCTTGACTCCTGGGGAGCGCAAGCGGCGGAAGAAGCGCGGGACCTGGTGGTTTTATCGTTGAACAGCGTGGTGTCCGCATTTTGCGCCGAAGGTTTGGATGAGGCTATCCTCCAGCATAGCATGATAATGACTGGGCCATGTCTGGACACTCGGACACCTAGCTGGATCTGGGCGCAGTGGGCATGCAGAGACTGAGGGCGGCTCCAAGAGCTCCCAGTTTGTGCACACTAAGACCCGCGCGGCCAGGGAGTTTCACAGATGTCAGAGAGGTTAGGTTAATACAGCACGCATGAGGTCCCCAGAGTCCTAAGCTCTCCTCCAAGAGAATGCTTTAAAACCTTTGAAAGATGCAGGCAGTCAGAAGATGAAAGGTCCGAATCGCTATCCTAGCCAATGCCCAGATTTTTAAGACTGCGGAGTTGGAACTCTTGTAATTCGCCTTAGACCTCAAAGTGTCAAGTTTCACAGGAATGGCACATGCCCAGTTTGCCATGCTCGTAAAAACTGGTAAACGTCTTGGTCTTTTCTGCGTTCTCGTAGCTGTTTCTGTTTTGCCACGAGACTGGCAGCTGCTTGGATCGCACATGACATCACCTGGTCTGTGACCCAGTCGAAATCATGCAGTGCTGACTTTCTAGGTTTTTGCATGCACTCATGTCTCTTAAAATTCCACACCAACATGCCATGTGGATTGCTCGCAAGCCCTATCACAGGTCCTGGCGCAGGGGTGCAAGAAGCACAGCAACAAGTCAAAAGTGCGAAGGCGAGGCTCAAAACAGACGGCCTGCCACGGGATGGGGTTTAGGACGGCAAGCCAGGTGAACTTGTAAGGCCAACATGAAAGACACCCTCAGCACCTCAGCGCGGCCGAAGTTCCGGGCAGCGGCGCAGGAAGAAGACGAATTGGGGTGGATCGTCAATTAGGTTTTGGAAGACCTCTGGGCGCCTAGACAAACCCAGACGTTCGACTCCGTTAGACCACCTCCCATCACAAGATGTGCCCTGGTCCTGTGCATGGCTGTGGCATTTTGAGGTTCTCCTCGACCCCTTGGAGAATCCCAGCCTCAAGGGGCTCAAGGTGGACCGGAAGCCACATGCGAACTGCTACCCAAGCTAGACTCACTCATCCCTGGAGCTTTCAAGGGATCTGAAAATCAGCACAACGCAATTCCAGTTAATATCGGCCAGGCCACATGCCCGCCTCATGGGGTTAAGTGCAAGCGATGGGGAAGCCAGGAATTGGGTCAATCTAGAGCTGATAGCAACATTGTAACACAGTATGAGCCACTATACCGACTCACGTCGGGGGGCATTCCAGCCGACGAAAATCAGAGACCCCCTACCCGACCCCCGCTAACGAGCCCACGTGGTCGTCTGGGAGGGGGATTAGGGGGTAGGCATACCATACTTGGTTGCTTGGATCAAGAAGCCCCAGGCCTCCGGCCTCAGCAGATTTTGTCAGAGCTGTCACTGCAGTCTCGCAATCACAGGGCTCGTGCAAAAGTGTGTCGCGTTCGGTTGCTGGGCTTGTTCCCATGTGCGCCACATGGCTGGATTCCCTCTAAATCCTTTTGAAGAAAAAGATTCCCAATTTCAGAAGCAGCTTAGAAGAAAGAAACCCCCCAGCTCGAAGAACGGACTCAGTCTTTTCAGCCTGAGAACCAGATATTCCTCCCCCCACTGGCTTTAGGTTGCCGGAGCTAAACCCTCATCCTCTGGAACTCTAAACCCTACAACCTTCTTGACCCCCAAGCCCTAAAATCTATTCCTCGAGCATGGCGCAAGGCGCCGCAAGCCGCGGTGTCCACCAAGGAAAAAAAGCTGGCAGCTGATGCAGGGGCTTCCTTCCGCTGCACATGTGAGGGCGGTTTACGGCTCAGGTTCAGATAGCAATGAACTAACGCCGTGAACCAACGCAATCCAAGAGTCTCAGAACCCCCAAACTTTGCTACGAATCAGAACCTCTTTGCCATGTTGCTAGGCCACCACCGTCTCCACAATGGCGTGCAGGCCATGTCTGTCGGCATCAAAGCCCATTTCCAATGGCCCTTACGGCCTTGAACTTAACTTAGAAACTCTGCCCAGCTACTGGCTCCACTCGCCTTTCTTGCGGCCCCAGGCTCGTTGACGCCTTCGGTGCGCAGGTCAATGTGGGTGCCAAGTGGGGGCGGGGGGGTGGCGGAGGGGTGGTGGAGGGGTGGTGGTGGGGTCGCCACTAGTCGGCCGGTCTGCGAAATTTAAATTTCTCGACTTGTTTGGGGCTTTAGGCCGACAGAATGGTCCGCTCAAACCTTTGCGCTGCAGAGAAAGGCCATGGCCGCGCGCGCGTTCCCCACAGGCACTGGCTGCAAAAGTACTGGCAGAAGTGGACACCAAAGACCTTCAGTGCGAGGGTGCCAAAACATGGGCTTCACAACATGAGGGAGTGCCCTAGCGCTGATCCTCTGCAAAGCAGTCGGGACGACATGCCGTAGCCATTTATCTTGCTGCATTCCCCTGCGGGCATAGTACATCCTAAAATCCTTGATCTGTCACAGCAGAAGTACAAGCCCCCTGAGCAGCCTCAGGCAAAGATAACCAGCTCCGCGCACTGAGCGGCCGCTGACACAGCGACATTTGCGTGTAAAGGTTAGGTGTGTCACGTGATGGCTGGAGCTGATTCGTATGATGAGGAGGTCAGGGGGTAGGAGGCCGCAAACTAGGCTCGTTGGAAGGGCCTAGGGGAAACTTTTCAACAATCACGGGGACGGCAATGCTTGGACAGTTAAGAGTGGGCAAACCCTTTTTCGAAAGTTTCAGGGGGGAGTCTGGGAGGGTCTGGGAGGGTTTTCGCATGGGAATGGGGGGAGGGGATGAACAACGGCAAGGGTTGATGGGTAACCCATGATGGGGGGGGCTTGGAGGGCTGCACGGCGAAGGTTCATGATGCTGAGCTGCCCAGAAGGGGCTTGGAAGAAACTTTACAGAAACCACGGAACAACAAAGCTTGGACACCCAAACACGCGGACGGCAACGCTTGGACAGCCAAAAACTTTGAAAAAGTTGGGAAAGCTAGGCTTCACTGTGCGCTTGCCCTCGGCCGGACATGCATGGACCATTCGAATCTGTTCGACTTAGTGGGGTAACTAGAAAGCTAAAATGGTCGCCAGCAAGTACCCGTCAATCAAATCCGTGTCAGCACGACGGCGTGAGAGATTTGCAATGACCAATGACAACGTGTTATTTAATAACAACTTCAAGTGGATAGCCCATCGAGAAACGCTCCAGGCGGTTGCAAGCCGCATGTTCCTTGCGGACGAGGTTGCAAGAGCCGCCCGCGTGCCTTCGATATAGGTGGCCTCGTATTCCATTGTCTCCCAGTACAATGTCTTGTCTTGCCAAGGAGACGGCTGCAAAGGCTCTGATCCTTGCAAAGGCTGGCGCTCCGTAACGCCGTCCAAACCCCATCTCCCAACTTTGCACCCTACAGTGGCGCAAACCCTGCGCCCAAACATCAAACCCTTAACCCTGAACCCTAAACCCTTGTGAGCCATAGCGGCGGCGCGTGTGTCGGGCAGCCGGGGCGTGGTCGTCTTTCCTGGGGAGCTCCTTCTGAACTTGGGTGAAGTGCTCCCGCGCTTGTGAGCGCAGTGGCCTAGACCTGCTTCTACAAGATTCGGGACACCATGGATGCGTCTCGAGTTCCGGTGCTGGGTCAAACCATGGACCTGGAGTTGTCAGATGGAGAGACGGCAGAGGTCGTTCCCCCCAGAAGGAAAGAGGCCAAAGGTCTGGATGTCTCGTCGCCGGCAAAAAGAAGTGCGCCGGAAGTTGAGGGAGTCTCCTTGGCCATGCTCAGGTCGCTGCTGAATGAGCAGACGCAAGACTTGAAGGGAAATCTCAAGCAAGAACTGCGCGAGGCCATCGATAAGTCTGAGAAGAAGATGGGTGGGGTTATGGCCCAGATCCAACAGGACCTCGAGAAGAAGCTGGACTCCAATTCTACGGAGATAGCGGCGGTCAAGCAACAACAGGAACAGCTGCTGCTGCGTGTGGGGGCTCTCGAGAGTGGCGCTGCTGGGGCCAGTGGTGTGGCTTCGGGGGCTGCGATGGCACCACGGCAACCTGTTCGGCGGATGGAAGTCGGTTATCCTTTGCCGATATCGAGGCTGCCCTGAAGAAGGCCGGCGCGAATGACTTGATCGACCAACCTCCATGGGTCCCTGGTGCGCGCCACTCTATCAGCCTCTCTGAGATGTGACTAAGGGTGAATGAGAATGAGTGGGGCAGGGAGAAGCGCGTGCGCTCGATCATGGCCATCGTTAACGACCCTAGAGTGTCCGTGCAGAAGCTGGCCTCGGGGCACACGCTCTGGGCAACAGTGAGCCGACCACGTTCTGATCGAGGCCATGGCTCTCATGCCAGTAAGATCCGACGCCTGCTGCACAGTGTAGGTGCCAACTTTGATGAAGTGGATTCGGTCTATGCCACACAGGGAGCATCTGGCGCAAGGACGTCCTCGTCGGCAGCGTGGACCGCCCCCGCAGTGGATCAAATGTTAAGGAGGGAAAGTTGGAGCACAGTTGGGTTGACCTGGCAGCTCTCGCTAAAACCACTGGCAGACCTGAGGAAGACTTGGAGAAGCTGTGGAGCCAGATCACAGGCTGACCACAACCAATGCACGAGCTGACCTCCCTGTTGATGAGGGCGAAGGAGCGTTCCTTGACGTCTCTGATGCAGGGTTGGGGTGCCTGCGCCTGTTCTGCATTCAGAATGTACAGATTTTGACTTTCTTCGTAATGATGCTTGGCCGGCGCCTCTGGTGCTGCATGCACTGCCCCAACCATTCCAAGAAGCCGGAGGGAAGTACAACCAACCAGTGTTCCACCAAGAGCCTCGCTTATTACCGGGCCCAGATACTTTGTTCCTGACATTGTGTATGCACCCTCTGACGTTGATCCGGCGGAAGTACTCAATATCCCTGATGATTCGCCGCCAAGTCAGCAGAACTTGGAGGTGGACCGCCCAGGCAAGGTGATTTCTGAAGTTCAGTTTGCGACGTGGATGTAGCTGGCGTCAGCTCAAAAAGAGTGAAGACCCTCATTTCGGAGGACTTGCAGGC